AATTATCTCAAACCATAATAATAAATCCTATATCAAAGAATATTATAGCTACACAACATAAATTTTATATTTACCTTTTCTGTAGCTACCTCATTATACTCTAACGTAATTTTATCCCATGCTTTTTTCTTCTTCTCAATATTATAGGAATCAGTCCTTTTATCTTCTATAATAGGATAGTTTATCAACATTTTAATAAATTGTTCCTTATCACTTGCCGAATATTTTACCGCCATTGCAAAAAGACAACAAACAATAATAACAAGAAAAACGTTTTGGGATCAGTACCGCGCTCTGGTTTAAAAATCGTCGCGTGCCGTGGACGGAAAAACACATAAACAAATTAAATGCGCTTGCTCAAATCGCCACACGAGTCATAGCGAGTTGCCAGCGCGGCGACGGCGAGGATATCGTCTATGCATTCAAAATTGATATCGTTCGCTTCGCCGAAAGTTCGCTGGCGGTGCGACTGGGAGATTTTTCAACGCCTCGCCGGCGAATGACTATGAATACGGGTGTAAAAGACACTCGAAAAAGGTCCTCAGAACTTACGATCGAGAAAAATCAAAGCTTTTTCTTGAATTAAGTAAAAAAAATCTTCAGATTCTGTGGGGAAAATGGGGAAACACTTTATCATTCAGTGCGGCGGACGACGCGACGACCGTTCGTGGTTCGTGCCATGAACTTTGGTACGGCTGATGCCGAGGATGGAGAGCTGGCCTCTGTGGAGCCATCTAAGATACTGGCTTTTGTTAAAGCCCTGTTATAACTCAAGAAATGGGACACACAATAGATCGGTAAGATCGTGGTGATTAGCCCCTCTCCTACAGATTCTACATTCTACCTTCGATTGGGCTCAATTGGTATACTTTGTATCTTCGGTAACAATGCAATATGTAATATTATGGTACCATGAGGCAGGTTTGAAGATGGAGTCGGAAGGTGGAAAATAGTTTCTCTTAAGACTTACTGTATACTAGAAATATGCTAAAAAACAAGAAAATATCAAAAGAAAACTTTACAATCGATTGATGAAAAAAAAAGTAGTAAGTAGTAATTTCATTTCGACAAAAGTACGAAAACAAATAGGTACGCTATATTTTCTTCTTCTCTATAAACCTAAGAACTGCTTTTTATTTCCCAATCTAACTTTCTTTTTCCTGTTGTTTACGTTCCTTTTAGCTTATTAGTTCTGGTCTGTGTTCTAAATAAATGCTCGCTTCTTTATTTAATGCCCTACAAAATCGAATGCGTGGTATTTGAGCAAATCCAGAATTATAAAGTATTTCACAGTCAAAATGTTTAACGGTATCGCAAATATTCGCGATTTTATTACATATGGCTCTTTCAGCGATACAATATCAGACTGATATTAACACAAGATACAGATTTTGAACTTTAAATATAAAAATTTTATTATTGTTTAATATTACTATTTAAAAAAATAATTCCGATCCACTCACACTTTTTGAACCACCCTGTAGATGTTAAAATAATTTCGTGAAATACATGCTAATCACGAAAACTTTAAAAACTATAAACTACTCAACTCTAGTACTCTACTCAAGTAAAGTAAGTCTTGTCTTTAATAGAAAAAATGTATCTCTATACCTCACATCGCAGCGCAAATTTTAAAATATTCCTATTTACCTGGAAAGTGCGATCGATACTGTGTCAGACTGCCTAACTTACTTTTTATCCTTATTCAAATCTTTCGTTTTGATGATTAAATCTTCATGGCAGATAGAAATGGGATTATTTCCTTGATTATTCCTGCGGATTTCCATATTTATCTGTTTACAGATGGAAAGTATGAATTTTTAAGCCGATTATTTAATATTAAGCTTTCTGCTTTTCCTGTGCTGATTTAATTTTACCTTTTAAAGCTTGAAAAAACAACTCAAATTAATCATAAGGAGTATTAATTTCGCACATTAAATTAGTTAAATTTTATACTGGGTGCAAATATTTTCAGGGAAAAAAAGAAACATATTTTCTCTTTGTCATTTTTCAAATGAATCCAAAATAACCGAGTTATTTTATTTTGAAAATTTAAATAAATTATTTTTCCTTAAATTTTGAGAACTACTGGATCTGGTTTTTCTTTTTTGTAAATTTAATCTACTACCTATGTTGCCATATTATCAAGATGTTATGTTTTTTAACTAAAAAAAAATCAAATTTTTTTCCACAAATTCCAAATTTTTTTTGCAAAAAAACCCTTGAAGACGTGTTTCTGGAGTCGAAATATACTACCCCTAAAATATTTCCACTTATTTAAGACTCACCCTGTCCCTGTACTTGCAGTGATTTTTGTTTTAAGGGTCTAAATAGTTTTTAATTTTATCTATTAAATTCTTAATGTCGAATAATTTCCTAAACTAAATACTAAAAAGTCAAAAAGTATCACTAAGTATATAGAGTGTAAAAAAATAGTATCCTAAACTTGAGTAGGTGATACTACAGATAGAAATAAAATAAAAAGTTCCTCTTAGCATACACCCTAAGCATTAGCGTAACTAGCAATTTATCCTGGGGTGGGCCAGGGGTGGGCCTGGGGTGGGGGGCTGGCCTTGAGACCAAGGGGGGGGGGCTAGGTCTTTTATTTTTTTAAAAACGAAAAATAATTTAAAAATTCATTTTTCGATAAAACGTTTACATGAATTTCTCTATCAATAAATTTCTTAGACTTGGTTATCAAACCGTGTTCCCGTAGATTACTTAAATACCTACAAATTTTCTAACAAAATAAAAATTAACATATTTTTTGAACACAACAAAATAATAGTAACTAAACAAAACTAGAAAACGTAATTTTTACTACATCACAAGCACATAAAAATTAATACGTAGCCAAGAGTCATAAAATTGAAGATTTCTCTGGGGGGTGCTCAGCAGTACCAGGGGGGGGGCCCGGCACCCCTATAGTTACGCCAATGACCCTAAGTAACTTCCTGAAGAAGTTATAGTCCTTGAAAAGGTGGATAAAAATACTTTATTCATAAGGATATTAATAAAACACTTTCCAAGAAATTTGATATCCCTAATCACATTATAATGTCAAAGCAATGTGCTAGTGTAAAAATCAACAACAGTTCTGAAAGGGTACTTTCCATCCATCCAGAGGGTAGTTTATTATAAAAAAAATTATCTTTTTTAAGAATTTTGTAAGTAAGAAAGGTGCTTTTCGTTTAGTTCAAAAGGCTGGACGGTTTTCAAGATCAGGCGCGTGGCAAACGACCCCGCGTGGCGGGGGGCCCCGGATAAATTGGGGACCCCCGCCCCACATCCTTCAAAAACAATTATCAAACAAACCGAAAACTGAAATTACATTTAGGCACACAATCCTTTTTTCAGCAATAATTAGGCTGATATAAAACTTTATGTTAAAATAGAAAATCTTTTGAAAGTGTATATGAGCTATCAATTGCGAAATCTTGGAATATTGAACCTCAGGTTAAAAGACAAAAGAGTTTGTAGAGCCCATAGAAAATCCTAAAAGTCGTTTAAAGTTTTTTTTATTACTCATGCGGGGAAAGTAGTATCTTTTCGCATTCTTTTAGAATCGAAAAGACGCTAATTGCCCACTTCACAATTACCACACTAGTTTTGAGCAAATTTAATGTCGAAGTGAGGTTGACATCTTGTTTGGATATAATAATAACTCGGTTTAGAATCAGGTATGACGCATTTCAAAATATTTATTCAAAATTTGAAGTTTTAAACCCACAAACATTGTTAAAATCCCAGGAATCTGATATCTTAGCTAATGCATGCATGTATTAGTAGACAAATATCCTAACGACCTAACAAAAAATCTAGCATCGGAGCTAATTCAAGCAAAAAATTTACTTTAAAAATGAAATTTGAAGCAATGACTGATTAGCAGTATACCTGATATTTGCACTGTATTTCATTTGTTTCTGGTTCTCCCTGTAACATCCGGTGAACCAGAAGCGAACTTTTTCTAAGCTGAAAATAATAAAAAGTTTTGCAAGGTCTACTATGTCCCAAAATCGCCTAAGCTCACTGGCCATAATATCAGTTGAGAATGATCGAGCAAAAGAGGTAGATTTGGACAGCCTCGTAAACAAGTTCTTTTTGTCAGGTCGAGGAAAAAGGAATAGACTTTCTAAAATACCATAGGGGTACTTCATAAATATTTAAAATTTCTTGTTCACATTTGTGTTTTAGTTATTAGTAGGTAGTCCTAAATGTTGAGTTGTTTTTTTTAATAAAACTTTGATTAATTAGAAGCAAAAATGTTTGTTTTCTAGTTTAAGTATTTTAAGGGTATTATAATAATAAATAAATAAATGTTGAAACCATTATTAAAATATAAAAAATATCACATTGTGGTTCTTGTTAAAAAATATGTTTCAAGCAGATATCACAACAATGATATATTTGAAGGAATTTTTGAGTATACTTAAGGAGGTCCCCTAACAAAGTTTGCAGGGGGGCCCAGCGAGAATTTGCCACGCTACTGTTCAAGATATTTGCCAACCATCCTCTGATCCAGAGGACAGTCCTCTTTTTGATCGTTCTGTCTTCTTTTCTCTCGAGTATTGAAAAAGTCCTCTTTTTTGTAAAAAAATTTTGTACACCAAACTCAAAATATAAAAATGCTATCGCAAAAATGCTTAATAATATTGTTACTTTGGGAACAATGGGTCTTTCGCTACTCACTCGTTCGTACAGAAAAGAAATATTTATGTACAAGAAACATTTGCGGAAGCCATGGATGTTTACAGAGGTTAGTTCTCTATCTCCGATATCAGTCGTGCCAAAGTTTATGACACGAATGGTTGTCGTCTCAGCGATATGTTGTTCTGGTGTTTCCCCATTTTCCCCACAGAATCTGTATTCACCGTTATTTCTTAGTTTCAATCTACTGAGGTGTTCGTTGAGGAGACATTGTCCTGTTAAAAAAGCCCATGACAATCCGAAGATTGTTCTATCTGAGATCGTGTAAGTCTTCACCGCTTGTTTGATTCGTGTTTTGCAGTCCGCATTCTTCCTCTTTTGGTTCAGGAGAAGAAATCTACAATATTAAGCACAATGATTAAATAACATAAATTATCTTTTTTATAACAGAAATTATTTTTTTTAAAATACCTTTAAAACACTCATTTTCTTTTCTGGTGTTCTATTTTTTTGTGGGCTCTTTAGAGGTTTTTCCTGTTTCTTCTCTGTCTTATTAGATTTGATTTTCTTGGGTGTATTAGGTTTGGTCACTACAGCCGTAATATCTTTTTGGGCCATTTTTATACTAGTATTGCTATCACTGCTGCTGTACAAAACGTGCTCAAAGCTTTATTTAATAACTGAACAATTCTTATTATCTGAATCTTCCTGTTTAACTTCTGGACTGGATTTGAAGTCTGCAATCGACTTCTCCACCTTAGGAGATGGAGTTTTGGACAGGTGTGAAGATATGGTACTGGGTGAAGTGTACTGGTTCCTCATCGATTTTATCTAAAGCCTAATTTCTGAGAAATTTCTTATCTGACAGTCAAACTGCATTAAAAACGATCAGTTCGTTTACCATTAATGCGAAGTTGGTCAAAGAATGCCTAGAGAAGCTGAATAAATTAGGCTCCATCCGTAACCTGAAATGGGAATCCTCCAACGGTCTAATACACAGGGTTCAGAACCGGGAAATCCCGGTACCGAAAGTACCGGAAATTCCCGGTTCTTTTTAGACATCAAAGAACCGCGACTCGAAATTATTAATTCCCGGTTCTTTCGGTATTTTCGGGACTCATCAGTAATAATAATTAAAAATATATTTTTTGTTACCTGCGAAAGACTAGAATGTATCAAAGCGGTCGAAATCAAACTTTTATAAATAAGTAGTGATGCTATCTCTTAATTTTCTTACTTCTGAAGTTATTTTGAAGTTTCTATAATGTTTATTAGCAATTATTGAATTTTAAATATGTTATTTTATCATTTAGTATCCGAGTTAGAATCATATTGCTGAATGTATTAGTTATATTTTTTTGTGTTATGTTTTTATAGGCATTTGCATCTCTAATTGAAAATGTTTTTTTTTCTAATCGAATTAAGTTGGTTTCGAGTTTGGTTGATGTTGTTTGATGTATTTTTACGCTACTTATGTGTTTTCTTTTTTTTTGCTTGTGTTCATTATTTGTGTTCATGTTTATTTTTTCATGACTTAATAAATTGATATTATTTTCATTTTAAACTCAATTTTTTATCGGTGTTACTTTTGAGAATTATCCCTTGCTTGCTAATTGACGAACTCCACAATCACTGAACGAAAATATTTAAGTACGGTTCTGGAAACTCTAATTAATACTACCAATTAGGGTTCAGATCTTTTTGGCCATCACAGAACCGGGCCTCGGTAACAATAATTAAAAAAATATTTTTTTGTAACGTGAGAAAGCCCATTGATACTTTCTAGTTTCTAGCGGTCAAAATCAAACTCTTCTAAATAAGTAATGATGCTATTTCTTATTGTTCTTGCTTCTTTTCTCTTTTGAAATTCCTATAATATGTATTACCTATGTTATGTTTTAAAAGATATTTGTAGTTTTATTTCAATATTTTAGGACTTTTGTCTCAAATTCAGTAAAGTTGGTTATGTTGTTTGATGTGAAATTTAAGTTACCTATACTTTTTTCTCTACTTGTCATGACCGATTACTGAATAATTTGATATTATTTTCATTAAAAATCTCAATTTTTTTATCCATTTTATTTTGAAAAACTATCCCTTGCTTTCTGATTGATGAACTGCACCACAATTGAACAAAAATTAGTCAGTACCGAAAGTACCGAAAAAACCGAGAAAACCCGGTTCCTAAAAGGCACGGTACCGAAATTTCCGGTTCCGAAAAACCGCTCCGATTCCGGAAACCCTACTAATATACACCCCTTTTGGATAAACCAGTACTACTATAGCAACACTAATTATAAAATTCATGATCCCAGTCTGTCACATAATCCGCTAACGGCTTAAAAAGAACAATAACAATAAAGAAAACGCTCGTAACGTTTATTGTTGACGGGATTTTCCACGTCGATTTCCACGAAAATTAATTTTCGTCACTGCGTCGGACTAACGGGATGAATGCAAAAAGAAACGGCCAGAAATGGCGATGGCGATGTTTTAAAAACAATTACACTGGGGAAACAATGAAAAATTGCCAGTAGGAAAGCGTGACTGACATAATTAGAATGTGTATTTCAGGGTCTATGTCGGTGACAAATATACCTACAATTTTTATTATCTTAAGTTTAATTAATGGATACGAATTGTCATTAGTAATACTTCCAGAAATTTTCATTGTCCTATCGCTTTTAGTTTTGAAGATAAAAAGGAAAAACATTATTTTTCCGCTATTTTTGTACTGCAATATCTCATTGGGCAGTGTGAATAAACATTTAGTAAAAGCTAAAACTTACATTTTCCTAGCAAATGCTTAGTTCGCAGTGAATAAAAATAAGTATTAGCTTTTACTAAATATGCAATTAGCAAAAGCTAAAAGTTTTTAGCATTGTCTAAAAATGGTGTGGATAAAAGTAAGCAATTACTAAGAATATTAAGGAAAAGCTTACATTTTTGCAAGCTTGTTAAACCCTGGCTTAGAAATTTTGTATTGTTAAAAAGTTTGGCAGAAATGGCTGCTTTTATAAATATAAGATCTGTAAAATTTTATCCCGAAAGAAAAGAAAGTCGTGCCGAAGAATACCACGGTCTGTATAAATTTAGTGAAGAAAATGTTGAGTGGATACCTAACCATTTTTTGGAGCCAAAAGTGGAAACTAGAGGTGGCGCATTGAGTCTAAAAAAATAAATGCAAATATTTTTGCGATTTTTAAGTGATCCTGGATTTCAAATAGGGATTGGAAAAGAAGGAGTTCATAGAACAACAATATGTAAAACGATATCTCACGTTTTACCAAAAATAGTTGAAAAGGCCGGAATTTGGATTAAATTTCCTACAGAAAACTCGACTGACCAGGCAATTAACGAATGGGAAGAGTTGTATAGATTTTTTGTGCTTTTGGTGCAATTGATTGCACTCATGTACCAATAATAAAGCCATCGCTACATGGTGACGAGTATATCAATAGGAAAGGCTGGTGTAGTATAAATGTGCAAGCAACTTTTGTAATGGAAAAGAAATTTTTACATCCGTAGATGCTCAATGGCCTGGCTCGGTGCACGACAGTCGTATTTTAAGAAAATCAAATATTTTTGGTATGATGAGAAGACGTCAACAGAACTATGGACTTATTTTAGGCGATAAAGGGTACGGCATAACACCATGTCTATTAACACCATGGCTAATAGCACTCGTTAATGATACTGGTTTAAAAAGTTTTCATGTGCTCGATATTGCCTTTTTGTAGTTTTTTGCACGTCGCTAACCATTCAAGTCATAAAAATATAAATATAGGCCTTATCAGTATAAAAACATGTTTTTTTAAATGATTTGCCAAATAAGATTTTTAAGTAAATACTTAAAATATCTAGCTTTTGCTAGTAAGTAAAAGCAAAACATTATTCACTTCAATTTCAACAAATGCTATTAGCAAAAGCTAAATCTACCTAGTACTAAAGCTTTTATTTAATACTAAAAGCAAAAGCTTAGTTTTATTCACTTGGCCCATAATCAAAGTACTGTGACGACTCAATGACCCTGTGATGACTCAAGGAAGGGGAGGCACAATAGATCTTTAAGGTCGCAGTGATTAACCCCCTCTTACTCATCCTACAATCTACCCACCCTGTATTTTTGATAAAGAATAGTCACTTAAAGTTTTTCGCCGTATATTTTAAAATACTCTGTATAGTAGAATTAACTAAAATGCGAATTTACCTAAAATATGTCCTCGAATACAACTTGCAAAGGAGTACGACTGTCCACCGGACTGGACCAACAAATGATTAAAAATAGATGGAGAATATTTTCATCATCTGAGATTCGATGATGACATAGTCCTAATAGCCACTAGTCCTGAAGAACTACAAGCACACATTAACAAACTAAATACAGCCAGCAATAAAGTAGGTCTCAAAACGAAAGAAGAAAGAAACTCAATCATATTCAAATCTAGACTGCCACTTTATCTAAACAGGAAAACATTTGACCAATGTGTACAGCCAGTCATGACCTATGCATGCGAAATCTGGGCACTTAAAACGGACATTATAAGGAAACTGCAGGTCGCACAACGCTCAATGGAATGCAATATGCTGGGAATAACCAAGAAAGGCCGTAAAAGAATAGAGTGGAGGCGACAAAAGACCCAGGTAATAGATGTCATCCACAGAATAAAATCCCTCAAGTGGTAATGGGCAGGACAATTGGCAAGAAAGACGGACAACAGATGGACCACAAAAATTACAGCGTGACACCCACGAGGAATTAAGAGACCTAGATGAAGACCAAACTTGAGATGGAACCCTGATATTAGAAAATTAGCAGGGATAACTTGGGCCCTTATTGCCAACAATAGACAACAATGGACCCCAACTACAAAGAAAGTACCTAAATATGCGAGGGAGGCTACACCATAATTGGAAATGGTTGAATAAGCTGAAAATGATGATGATCATGTCCTCGGATAGTCTAAAGAAAGTCTAAGTAATAAGAGGAAAACCTTTTTATTATTAACTTTTTGAGAAAACTGCATTCTTCATTAAAGTTTTGCTCCAATATTTTTTTAATATTTCGTTGAGCTGCTTTTAATACTTGTAAACTATGAGATTTTTTATTAAATTCTCAAAATCTCAAACCCGACATTATGTATTTTGTACTTCTTTACATTATTTTAAAACATCAAAAAAATCTTTTGCCATACAAAAGGTGGTGTAGTAGTATTTTTTTATATGTTGTTAAGGCTTGGGTCTTGACAAAAAATCCAAGTTTTTGACCTTGGGGTGGGACCGCTCGAGCCGCCATCTTGGATAGAAGGTACAGTGACGAAAAGTTGAACATATTTTCCAAAGAAATAGAAAAACTCCCGAATTTTGTACTTTTTCCGAAATTCTTGCTATTTTTTACATAGGTATAAACAGCAGCGGCTGGTGAGGTAGTGAGGTGCGACGGAGCAAAAAAAATATGTTATAACCTTCATATGTCTCATTGAAATATAACGCACAATATAAAAAAAAACTGAAAAATAAGGTAGTGCCATGGCGATTTATTAGCGTTTTCTTTTCATTGATGGTCCGGGTCGGTTATTAATAACGTTTTGAGTATTGTCTTCGGTGTCATCGTAATCGGTGCTACCACTAAAAGCATGGAGAAACAGAATGTTCTCAGTTACTTTTTCATGTTTTAAACTATTAGCTGAATATATTCTTTCAGCAAATTTTTGCCTTTTCCTGGTTTGCGGAGGTAGATGTTTCCTTGAGACGGTGCCAATGTTGTCAGCAAAACGAGAAGGTCAACGTCTTCGCCAACTACGAAAACAGCATCTAATTTTGGGCACAAGGAAATCGCTGTTCTGACAATCAACACATCAGCATCTTCTTCCGCCTGGTTGACAGTAATAGCAGCCTGCTCGATTTTTTTCGTGAGCATCGAAATTAAACGGCCTTTATTGTTTTCGTTGGCTAAAAATAATTCCTGGGAAACTTGAACGGGCGTTGTTTCATCGAATTGAGCATCCGCAGACATATGCTTCTTCGATCGGCGAAGTCTTTCTGCGGCCTTGGTATTCCTTTTGTCTCCATCAGTCGGATATCCATCAAAAACGACTGCATGTGAACCGTATTGATTTCATACATATTGAACGTAGATACTTTTCGGAAATGTGCGCAAATGAATCATTACGGTGCCATACAACTTTGTGCAAAAAGTATCCTCCATCCAAAATATTGATTTGATTATCTCCGAATTCCACACTTTCTGGAAGTTCTGGAAATATAATAAAATATCGATATCTAACTTTTATTCCAACATTTTGATCGTAAGATTAACCGCTGGGGATATATTTTGAAAAATACAGTTTTTTGTATCTTTAATTCAAGAAGGCGGCTCGAGCGGTCGCGCCCCAAGGTCGAAAACTTGGATTTTTCATCAAGACCTAAACCTTAACAATATATTAAAAAATTACTACTACACCACCTTTTCTATGGCAGAGGCCTATAATGGCCCCCCACTGATTGCACTATATAATCAAAATTAATAATAATCTGTCAATGAATGAGAATTAAATGATATTAGGATAGAAACGCGTTTTGCTTATTAGAAATAAAAAAAAATCAACCATGTAATGTTTATACATTTTTCTCTAAATAAACGGAAATTGGAAATTTGGAAAAGTATAAATTAGCCATTTTAAAACGAGCGAAAACCTTAAAAATGTTTTTCCTTTTGTAAATACAATCCGGGGACATACTGTACACAAATGAGTTGCAGGGATTTCATCATAGACTTTAGCCATTTTTAATTTTTTTTTCTAAATAACTCAAATCTGTGAATAAAGTCACAAAATTTTTATTCTGAAATAAATAAATAAATTCTAGCAATTTTTGGAGAATCTCCCTAGGTCTCTGGGCATTGGCATCAACTTTTTTGTCTGCACTATACATCATAGAAAATAATTTACAGCAAGTAGGCGACCGCATCGTTGCTAAGTACAGATAGATGATCAAGGTGATTCATCCACCAACTATTCTATGCTATTTGGTCGTGTAATGTTTTTTTGCCACTCTTAATAGTAGCCAGCTTTCAGAAGTAAATACATTTCAGTATTCAGTACATTATTTTTATACGGGGGTCGATTGGAAAGTATACATCAGTATGTCCACTGATTGTTTTTACAAGACGAAAAACATTTTTATTATTGACATTTTGAGAAAAATGCACTCTTCATAATTTTTTTTTGCTTGTTCTAAAATGGCTAATCCTGTTTATTCTTTTCCAAATTTCCATACTGTTTTAGAGAAAATTAAATAAAACGTGAAAATACGGTTCCTAAAAAAAGTCTTAAAAATCCTTAAAAATCATAACCACGACGTTTCTATGCTAATATAATTACGTTTTCAAAAATTAACACTAAATTATAGAGAGATTAAAAAGGAATAGAACGTTTCCAGGCGCTCATCTACCGTATGATCGAATAAAAACGGCGTCTATGAAATGACAATCGATGACATTTCCCATATAAAATGACAGCGATCTTTATTTCATAACCATCGCTGACGCCGTTTTTATTCGATCATACGGTATTACCAAAAAAATGTTTTTCTCTAATTTTAAACTACACCATCTAAAAATCATTTTATTAAATATAAAAATAAATTAAGACCTTCTTAAAGCCAACTGGCAGTAAGCGCCAAGCAATGACGTCTAGGGTTCGACCTCGCCAAAATTATTATATCGATGGTATTTCCCCAGCCGTCTTTGACGCCGCTTTTTTTTCGTTCGTATATGGTACCTAGGTAGGTATATTATTGTAAAAACCCTACTTATTACCACAGATTAGGTATCCTATAAGGTGTTATTACTAAAATCCATATTTATATAAACAATACTATTCATTTCAGATCAATCCAGAACATACGGTACCTACCTTAGTGGACGAGGACTACATCAGCTGGGACACGCACGCTATTTTGGGCCACCTGGTACACAAATACGGCCTCGACGACAATCTCTATCCGAAAGATCCGGAAAGAAAGGACATGGTCGACCAAAAACTGTTTTTTGAATCGGACACCCTATGCCCTAGAGTGAACAGCGTTATTGTAAGGAAATTCGCTTTAAATTCACTTATTTATTTATAGATTTATCACTTTCACTGATTTTGTTCCACTATAATCACCATAGACCTAGTTTTTTCCTCAAATTCGCACTAAATATAAACATAAATTGTGTAAAACTTAATTTTAACACACACGACAACAAAATTCGTCTTTTTTATAGCTGTCAAAGGCAAAGCCCACTTGGTCATAAAATAATTTCATTGTACGGCACCTATGCCAAAAGTTTATTTTTAATATTTCAACAATTGGACAAAAAAATCTCAAAAAAAATAAATAATATGCTGCTTTCACACTACAGCGCCTGTAACATCGCTGAAATAGGCAATCTAATTACTAATTACCATTTAATTTAATAAATAATCGTAAGTTAGTTAAATTTGAGTTAAATAATGGAATTCGATTTTAAATGCCAACAAAAGAAAAACATATTTAATGTCTCCTGTTGTGGAAACTTCCTGTATCTAGAAACATATTTTTCAATGCAAAATATTTAATTCTCCCACCAACGGGTGTTTATTGAGTTGCCTAAATATATTTATTAAAACTTTTTAAAAAATTAATGATAATCTTTGACCAAATAGCCAATATTTTATTAACAAGTACATTATTGAGAAATTTAAATATAATAATATATTTTTATAACTATGAAACACGTGTAGCAATAAAAATAATTATATAATCATTTCTGGGGGCAAAAACAATACTGAATAAAATCAATTCTTTTTTGACCGTTATGATTTGATGCAACCCAAACTTCTTGAAAATAAATAGACAAGAATAAAACACACGATAAAAAACTAGTTTGGATTAAATCTATCTACAATAAAGAAAAAAAACCTACTCATAATTTCTGTAAAAATTTCCTCAGACGATCACAAATCACAACTATTGTTGGGTGGCGCCTCTCATACGCCGCGGAGGCTCCAAGGAGAACGACAGTTTGTATTGAAATGAAATTTTGTAAGCATATGTAGGTTAATGGAGAGCACTTTTTATAAATATAGAGAGTTCTACAGGGTGTCCCCAAAAAAAGTTACACATCAAAGTTGTGTTTTTTCTAATGGAACACCCTATATATTAATTGATTTTCGGATTCTAGGAAAAAAATAAAGGTGAGTTTTATCAAAGAAGCATATACCTAAAATCTAAGGATTTTGACATATTTCACATTTTGTGAAAATGAAGAGTAAATTTTAAATTTCGATAACAGCTACCTAAATTTTAGTTGACCTTGTATAGCCCGATATTTAGCTACAGTAACTATTGTATGCTAAACCAAATTGAAATTTGACCCGAAAAGTTATACAGTGTGAGACAAAATTAATATGGAACATTAGTCACTTTTAAAAGCAAGTTACTCCTTTATTTTAAATGGAACACCCAGTATATTTTTCAGATGTTCAATGGGGAATTTATATATCTTCAAAATATTATTAAGGTTGCCTACCCCTCAGACAAAAATTTTCCTAGAGATTATAATTTTTATGATTTTGCGTCAGCAGATCTTTATTATTTGAAAAAAACTAGTTGGCTGTGTTACCTTTTGTTAGTTTAACAAAAATTAAAGATTGTAGAGTAAAATCTTTAACGGTAATAAAAAGATACACGTTTAAACCATATTTTAATTATTATAGTATTAAAACTAGATATAAACCTATAATTATATGACAAAAATTAGCTAGATGAAATCGAATGCTCAAAATGATTCCTTTTCTGTTAACTGTATAAAATTATTGTCCTTTCAAAAGGGTCTTTTCATTTTAAAAGACATAGGTATGTGGAGTTCTACCTCGAAAAGCAGCTACAATCATTTCTCTGATGTTGTCGACAATAGTTGGTCGAGTTTTGTAATCACTGTCTTTAACATATCCCCATAAAAAAAACAGACTAGATAAAATCAAGAGCATTTAAGTATTCTATAATTGGTGAATGCACACTGTATTCACCAATTAATAGAATCATATCAATTCTCTCTGATGTAGGATTGCATTTTCGGCAAATTTCTGAGATTTTTTTTTAGCTGACGCAATATGTTAACTAGTTGTTAAAGTTGGACTAATTAGACAGCTATGTCGAAGTAACGTCAGACATATCGCAGCCACCTAGATTTTATCAAATAAAAAAAAGATCTACTCAGATCAAACCATGTAAATGAAAATATCTAGGAAATTTTTTGTTTGAGAGGTAGGCAACTTTAATAGTATTTTGAAGAAACATGAATTCTACATTGATATCGGAATAATATACTGGGTATTCCATTTAAAATAAAAGAGTAACATGTTTTTAAAGGTGACCAATGTTCAATATTAATTTTGACTCGCCCTGTATAATTTTTTGGATCAAGTTTTAATTTGATTTAAAGTACAATAGTTAATTTAACTACATATTAGGCTATACCAGTTAAATTCCCATTTTGGTAGCTTTTATTGTAATTTAAAAATTGTTCTTAATTTCTAGAAAATGTTAAATATGTCAAAAACCTTACATTTTAGTCATATACTTCTCTTATAAAACTCACCTTTATTTTTCTCTCAGAATCCGAAAATCAATTAATATATAGGGTGTTCCGTTACAAAATACACAACTTTGATATGTAACTTTTTTTGGGGACACCCTGTAGAACTCTCTATATTTTTAAAAAATGCTCTCAATTAACCTACATATGCTTACAAAATTTCATTTCAATACAAACTGTCGTTCTCCTTGGAGCCTCTGCGGCGTATGAGAGGCGCCACCCTGTATATTCCTTCCTTTCAGAGAGCGTAAAACCTTAGTATCAAATATTTTTATTTAATCTTGTCGCCCATCAATTTAGTCCTCATAAAATATCCTACTTTACAGCTTATAATTCCTTTTTTTCTAGCAGGCGATCGTTATAGAAAACGAGAAAGAAATCCCCACCGAGAAGATAAGTGCCATAACGGAATCCTACAAACTCCTAGACGGGTTCCTAGAAAACACAACCTTCCTCGCCGGAGACAGCTTAACTGTAGCAGATCTCTGTTGTGTCGCAACAGTTAGTACTGCAACCGTTATAACTCCTATATCAACAGAGAAGTATCCCAACTTATCACAGTGGTACCGGACGTGTAAAAACTTGGACTATTACGAATCCTCGAATGGAAACGGACTGAACAAACTCGATGCTTTAGTTGAATTAAAACTAGGCCGACCCCGAACAAAAGAACTATGCGAATAGCACTTCTTGTGAACACTTTTGTGATATTTTGTACAATTTTTACTCTAAACACTATGGACTACTTTTACTTGTGATGATCCATAAGCATTTGTTAATTTATTGTTTATTTATTTATGCATCTTTATCGGTATATACCTAAAAATATTATAAACGCACAAATCTACCTATATAAAAAACATTTTTTGTGTTTTATTTGTTCCTGTATGTACATATAAGCATGTTTATTATGCACACCTATTTATTGAATTATTGTAATCATCAGAAAATAAATAATAACTAAAATTGAAATAAAACATTTATATATCACTTTTTAATTGAGTTGTAGTTAGTTGGATTTTTTCTCCTGGTTTAAATGCCGGCATTCCTAAATATGGACAGGTGGCACACCTGAAGGCATCTCCTAAGTAGCACTAAAATGATAAACAAAAATATAATCCAACCAATTATATTTAAAACCTTAAATTACTCACACTTCCACATGAAGACTTTGGAGCATCTTTTGTATCTACAACTTTACCACTCTGAGCCTCAGCAGCCAATTCTTCAGCTAATCCACATGAGCAATCCTTACATGCCTTACGTTTCCCAGTTGTACCACAAACTAAAATTTCAATGTAAAATAACAATAACATCTTAACAAAAATTTAACATTTACAACGAACCTTTTAATGTAGACGGATCTGGCTTTTTTAAATCATCCTCATCTAGTAATTCATCTGGATCAATTAAATCTTCCTCCTCATCATTGTCATCTAACTTCCACACAGCAGGCTTTTTCAGATTTAGTTTCACAGATGACCCAACGGCATATTTGGGTTTACTAGCTGTTATATTATCCTCATTTAATACTACATTTGTGAATCCACTAACTTTTAAATTGAACTCAACATCACTAAAGTCTGAAGTATTTAAAATTAAGATTTTTCCCTCAGGCTTCAATATTTTAAATGCTTTCTGAAGTATATCTGATGAAAGACTTTTTACGGAATCCGATATCACAACATTTATTGCAGAATTGTTTTCTTTCTCTAAGATATAAAATAAAACATTTAAATCCTGATAAAAAATTGCAATTCATTGCAGAGGGCATGAATCTTACCTCCTATTGTTTCTAAAGTACATGTATTATTGGAATTAATTTTCTTAAGTTCACTTAGGGCCTCTACAGATTTATTATCAGGAAACACCACTATGAAGGGCTCAGTTACATTTAAATTATCAAAAATATGCATTTTTTCAATTTAACTTGAATTTTTACGATATTTAAACGATCACAATTTTTGTTGGTTATTTTGACTTTTGACAGTTGGACCATAGATTAAAGCTATTTTAATTAAAAAAAAACACTAGAGATGGTCCAATTTTAAAAAATAGATCGATTCAATTTAAATGTTAATCATATACAACATGTATATGAGTAGCTTGTTTTACTGGTTGCTTTCAATTTCTGTACTAAAAAAAGTCAGGTTAAATTTGTATGGCAAAGAAAACATAAACAGTGTAAAAATTGTAAATAAATATAAATTTACCCCTATAAATAAAAAAAATGGAAGGTGAATTTTTAAACAATGAAAGTACATGGTCAATTTGTCAGAAAGTTTTTCCATTATTAAAAGATAACAATTATATCGAGGAACCTTTTCAACAAGTAGAATTTGAAGAACTTTGCAACTTTGTGAAAAAAACAGAAACACAAAAGCCTTTACAAGCGCTTGTATGCAAAAAAATCGAAAAGGAGCTATGGAATAGAGTGGTCCCCGAGTTTTGGTCTTATTTTAAAGATCATAGTGATAACAAGAAGGGCTTTGAATTGTTTTATACTGCTGTTGATACGCTTTATAATAACTACAAAAGGTTAAATAATATAATATTAACCCTAGATATATTTAGGCAACGAACAAACCTCTTTGAGGTCCCCTACAACGAGAAAACTATATATAATTTTTTGAAATTAACCTTAAGATCAGCATTATTCGCTCAACTTCAAGTAGATTATCAAACAATTACAAAGGACTTCTACGAAACAGCTTTAAGAATGCAAGATCAGAACGAAATTATTATGTTGTGTCTCATTTGTTCTCAAGCAAGTGCTTTTTGTAATTGTTTAAATTTGTTTCAGGAAACAAACAGGTAGGTTGTTTTTGATTTTTACTCTTAACTAATCAATTCTTATTTTTTGTTTTTTTTTTAGTAAACTTGGAGAAATGACTTTGCTCGAGCCCTTAGTTGGTCAAACTTTGACAAATTTGTGTCATAACTATATTTATTCACATATTCAGAAGATTTGCAAAGATAATTATGATTCGTTTATATCAAATTTAGAAAGGGTATAGACTTCTTAGGTATTTTTTTTAATAATTCATCTAATTTTGAGTATTTTTTTAGTGGTTGCATTCAATTGTAATTGCTTGGCTTAAAGAAATATATTCATTTGACTCCTACCAACCTCTTAATGATTATATGGAGATGTTTGAGAAGAAGCTCGTAGACTATTTGTATAATGCTTACACAAAACTACGAATTAATCAGTTGTTTAATATTGTCATAGGTAGATAATTAGTTTCTTTTGATGAGTTCGTTCATTTTTATTCTAACTTTTTTAAAGAATACCCTGAATCCCTTCCTGCATTGGAAGATGTACGTTTATGCTTGCCTAGAACAGATCTCAAACCAATGCTTACAACAAAACTTCAGAAAGCTATGGAAACAAGGCTTTTACATCCAGGTGTTAGTACAATAGATATATTAACAGCTTATGTAGCTACTATTAGGTCGTTAAGGGTTTTGGATCCTTCAGGACTTCTACTGGAGACTGTGACTCAGCCAATACATCAGTATTTGAGAAGCAGAGAAGATACAGTAAGGTAAATAACTTATATTTTCCTTGAAATAATGTTGGAAATAGCAAAAATTAGACTCAAACTATGTATTAGAAAATTTCTTGATCACATTATTGGAGTTTATTTTTACAAAAAAAACTAAATTTAATGGATAAAAATTATGCCCAATAATAATGGTATTTGCACCAGAAATACAATGTTTACTTATTTTTTTGACATGGTGGCAACTGAGCTTTTTGTTCAGACAATTAAACATATTTATAGATGCGTAGTTAGTAGTTTAACTGAGGAAGGCCCTAGCGATTTAGCTGAAGAGTTAAACAGGGGCGAGCCTGTTGATGAAAATACTCCCATAGATGATGAGGATGAAAACTGGGAAACTTGGGTACCAGATCCTGTTGATGCAGCACCTTCTAAAGGTAAGCATACTGAATTTGAACAGTTTCTTCTATTTGTAATAGATTTAATTCGATAATGAATGAAAGAATGAATACATTCCCTGAATTTACACTTTTTTACATTTTTAATAAATTTTTTTACATTCACTGACTGAATTAATTTGCCTACGCCTATGGTTGTTGTCTTTTTCTGAAAGCTGTTTATTACTAGTGATGGGCGATAATGGATTTTGGATTTTACCTATCGATATGTTTTAGTTATCGATAGTTATTAATCCCCTCCCTTCACCCGAAATCCATCCCTAGTCCTTAGTATCTAGTACCAGGATACAAAGAAAACAAGGTATGATCGATAGCGGCTCCAATTTCGTTAAGTTTGCGCATACTACCTGTGACGTCATACGCCATACAAAAAATATCCATATCACAGTCCATATTGTTCAATTGCCACTAATAAAAAAAAGACCTAAAATAGGGAAGAATTAGGACATAACCCCAAAAGTTATGTTTTGACATCGAGCTTGACATTTGAAAAATTATTTTCACATTTTGACACAATCAAATTTCACAGATGACACAATCTGTTTGACAATTTGAAATTGGCGCGCAGAGCTTGCCGACCAATGGTGCCGTTTATCACCTGTGACGTAGTGACCAACCTGCGCAATATCAAACTGCCTTGTATTCCTTGTATCATGATCTAGTACAATATGATCGAGAGAAAAAAACGCGTCAACGATGGCTATAAAATAAAGATTGTTGTACTTAATTTTATACCGATTTGGTCATCGAAACTTCTAATGCCGGGTCAAGACTAAGGCGACAAAAAGTAAACACAATTTTGAGACAAAAACAAAACAAACTTGTGACAAAAAAATGGGGAATTCTGACAAAACAAACTTGAGACAAATTGTCCACACCGCGTCTTCTTCCTGTGCCTTGTGCTTAGCAGCACGTTGGCGATTGTCTGTACTCTTCATACAATGTGTAGAGTGCCGTTTTCGGCTCTTCGAAATATGGTGGCTGCGTCGCTGATGTTACACCAATCCCGTATGTTTCTTAGCTAGGAATGTTGTTTTCTTCCTCCGTATAGTAAGATGGGCCATATGTAGCATTTTACTACCCGTAGTCTAAGTGCTAGCGGGAGACTGCGTGCTAATAGAAAGTTTTTAAGTTTAAAAAATGTTGATTTTGCATAATTCGTTCTAAGTTTAACTTCCTCATCGCAGTCCCATGGTTCATTGATCATTGCACTTAGATATTTAAATCGTGGTACTCGCTCTATAATATTTCCATCCACCGTCAATGCGGTGTTGATTATAGGCTGGCGTCCTATTACCATAAGTTTGGTTTTGGTAGCGTTGATTTTAAGACCGAAACGATTTCCCATGTCCTCTATCTTATTTATTATTTGCTGGAGATCCTCTAAAGTTGGTGCTAGGATTGCCGTATCATCTGCATATCTTATATTGTTAATTGGAACTCCGTTAATCTTAATTTCTCCACTTTCTCCTTCCAGGGCCATTTGAAATATCTTTTCGACGTATATATTAAAAAGTATTGGTGACAGTATACAGCCCTGGCGGACTCCTTTACACACATTGAAGGTGTCTGTGGATAAATTTTTGTTAGCTCTTATCTCCGCGGTTTGGTTCCAATATAGTTCCTGTATGATTCTAATGTCTTTGGCGTATATTCCTATCTCGAGTAGTCTGTTTAGGAGAATATCGTGTTTAACGTTGTCGAAAGCCTTCTGATAATCTATGAAGCACACAAAGACATCTTGGCGTTGATCATAACGATATGGAATATAATATATTTCCATAATAATGGAAAATCAAATGTATTAAAAAGAGATAAAAATTGGGTAGATACATTTTTTATGCAGTATTGACGGATTTTGCATCAAAATTTCAAACCGCACAAGTAGGCGTTTACGAAAAATGTTGCATCTAGGGTTGGAACTTTATTTTTCACGATTAGTTACTCATTTTACTACAGCTGTAATAGATTATATTTAGCTTAGATATATTATCTTCATTTCAGTAGTATACATGAAAGTTTTTAAAATAGCTTATATTTTCTACATACATTTTCGTACAAACGTAAAAACCGGCAACACTGTACGCCGTTTTTGATTTTTTCTCTCTGTCTGTCAACCGGTTTTTTATATTATTCTCTGTCATACGCATTAAAATCCAGACCACATGACCAGCAAGGTATGTAAAATTATATAGGGAATGTCATCGATCGTCATTTCCAAGTCAACTGGACGCGTTTTTTTTTATCATACGGTATAAAAAGCGGCCTTATGAAATTTTAAGTAAAACTAAAAATGTCATATACATTATTTTAACTGTAATTTTGAAATGTTCCACTAATATTCAGGTTTTTAAAAAGGTAAATAAAAATATATCCGCAGAAATAAATTTGGATATATCCATAGTTATCAATAATCCATGATTACAAAAATGCTATTAATATATCGATAGGTATATATATATATATACATATATATACAGGGTGTCCCAGAAATTAGTGCAAATATTTTAACTGGTAGTATAGTTCAACCCATAAAGTAACTAAAATAAAAGAGTGTTTGAAAGGTTGTCTAACTTGGCCATAATGTTGCATAGTTCAGTTAGGGCTCCAAAGCGTCGCCACCTGCTACCTGTCACGTGTCATTACAAGAATGACAAGTGACATGACAGCAAATTATTTGTATTTTGCAATTGTTTACAATTTTGTTTTGAATTTTGGAATTTTGTTATTATTTTGTGTAGCATAAACTTTGTTCGTTTGTTTTGTGTTTGTGCGTACAGAAATTATGGACGAAGTTTTATTTTCCGAGGAACCAGAGACCTTATATTTCTCTATGATTTGAACTTTATATTTTGTGCTGTGTTTTGCCATCATCATGTAATATTTTGTTCAGCCGATGATGTGATTTGAACACGATCCAGGAAAGGGTATCATGCAAAGCAAGTTCGATATGTAAAGACATTGCCCATCTCTGAACTCTGTGAACGTAAAACGAACTGACTATAAATTTGCGCCTTCATTTAATAGTGTTGAACATTTGCTACATCAACTGAACTTCAACTGCTGACTGCTGAGTTTATAAATCCAACTTAAAGGTGAATTAATTTTTGATGATATCTTATTTAAATCTTTATCTGTTATAATAGCATAGATTGCAAACCCTGCGATCTTATATGCTTTGTTAGTGGCGTTGTTAAATACGTTTTATAATACTATAGGTAAATCGAAGGGTAAATCGCTGGTGTATTTTGGTGGTGTACAAGATGTTGGCATTTTCGTGGCATTATTGGTATTAGTACTAAATTATTTGGCATTACCTTGGCATTAGTGTACAGAAATTCATCAGGAGTTTACCCCTCGAAGTTAATTCAGCATATATGTTTTATATTATCAAATTTAATTTAGCATTTAACTGTAAGCATTTGAAAAGTCTACAATAGTTTATACTTTTCAAATATTCCGTTTTTAAAAATAAACTTTCGTTATATTTTTGCAGTTTTAATTTCGTAATATTTTAAAAAATACATAAAATTTTATATTCATATTTAAACAGCCCGCCTTTTTTGTGGTAGGCAATGCAGATACCTATTTTACCGATAAGGTCTGTCATATTTCGATTAGTTCAGTTAGGGCTCAAGGGTGCGCTACAATCGATCCTCGTTAAACGTGTTGCCTACTTTTGACTATGGAAATGACAACTCCTTTATTTTATATTTTCTATGGTTCAAACCCCAGAAACACGCTGCCTATGAAAAAGTTAAAATTTACTAACTTCAAGAAAACGCAGACGATGCAGCGCTCCGCTTACGTCAACGCCAACGTGCATGGGACCTTGTCGTAGACCCATTAAGATTATTTTGTTTATGTTAGGATTTCGGAGAGAGACTGGCGGATGAATAGGGAGAGCCAGTCGATAGACCGACATTGATTGTACCATACGAATATTTCTGTATTCTGTTACGTTCAATTATTATATTAAAATACTGTTATTTAAAAGGTATTTCAATAATAAATAACCCATAAGTCTTACAGACGCCACCTTCAAGATTATACTTATTTGCATTCGAATTTTCTCCCCATATTCGATATCATCCGCTCGGGCCGTCACCGCCATCTGTGCCGTCACACTTCATAAGACCGGTCTGTTGCCTTGCCGTGTCTGCGTGCCTTGCATCCTGTTAATTTCTTTAAAGGATATCGGGAAAGCGGAGCCGTATTGGAATTATATATCACTTTTCTGAAAAAGAACTGAGCAGGATGACGAAATATAAATCAGGATGGATAGGAAGAATAGGACGAGGTAAAGAGGACAATGTATTTGATATATTTTTGTAAGATATATGGAGTAGCGTTTCTGGTGTTTCAACCTTTTTTATTGGTCTTTTTTGAGTATTATGAAAATTTTTCACATTTTTAATAAAGCATGCAGGGGTTTAAATTTTATTGGGGTCTGTATGGCACCACCACGCCAGGAATGTTTCATTATTAGTATGGTAGATAGTTCAAAAAATGGGCATTACGGGAACGCTAATTTTGAGGAAGCATTAACTGAGTGGTTTGATGAACTTACAGAGACTTAAGCGATGTCAAGATCATCGAGGCATATTATTTTTCTTCGAAGAGTAACCATAACTCCGATTCTGAATCTCTTACTTATAGAAGAGAGAAAATTGAATTATTAATAACAGAAAAGAAAGAGATGTGGTATATGTCAACGAAGAAATGACAAAAATCAAAAATATCATGAATCAAATGTGCATGATCCATATGTGGCAACTGCAGATCCTATGTTAGCATGAACTGTATTTGAAAAAGTTATGCAGTTTCGTAGAAAATAATTTATGTTTATTACTTTAGCTTCACATCAGTTGTTTTTACTTTCAATAATAAGAGAAAATCATAAAATATATGTCTTTAATTTCTATGGGTTTCTTAGCCAAGTTATATTTCTGTTGTCAAAAATTCCTAAAAAATGCGTTTTACTTTATTTTTGTGTCCGTCCTTATTAATTTATTGAAAATTAATGAAATTGTTTGTTCACAAGTTTGAATTTATTGTAAACAGTGATAAAATAACAAACTTTTTATAAAATCTCTTCATTTATTTTTAACTGAAAAAAAATTGGACCCCAGAGAAGGCCATAAGCGATACAAAAATTCACCACCCCAGTTGAGGGTTAAGAAAAACAACTGTTTTTCTTTTTCAAATACATACTGGAACAAATCGAATAGGATAAATTACGAGCCAAACCGTGAAAAGGGTCACCAACCATTGATAAAGCCGATGCAAAATTACATCGTGCACCTAGATAAGAGCACCCTTTATCACAACGAATTGGTTCGATTTTTTCCGCTTTTGCATGAGCTTCGTTGAGAGAGAGCGAAGCTAGCAAATTGAGTCTTCTGAAAGAACTATTTTATCGATCCGATCGCTCAATTTATTCGACTGGAAAAATGCGTCCGTTCGCCTTACTAAGTGAGAAAAAATTACGCGCGAGAATTAGGACCTTTTGAATTTTTAAGATAACTGAATAAATTTGTTAGTATCTGCTACTGTTTATACAGGTTTAGAATCCTAGATGAGCTATCTCTCGTGGGTTATCATTGGAATATTTTTCTAAAAAAAGCATGTAAGCCACTGACTTTTTTTGTCCTGTTGGAGAAATAGTGTAAGCAGTTTAATACCGATTAAAAGTTGTGTCTTGATATTTTGTCGATTTCGGTTTCCTTGGTGAGATGAATGCCATTTTATTAATTTGCCTTGATCCAAGTCCAATAGCAACCTTTAAAACATTTTAATATCATTAACTTGCGACAGTTTTAAATATGAACTCATGAATTCCTCATCAAAAAATATGAAAATAAGTTCCTATATTTTTTTTCATATTTTTTGATGATGTTGGAAATAGCATATGTTGAAAATTAATGAATTTTGAACATCTGCTGATGATGATAACACAGTAGAGAAATGCGCGTCCAGTGTTTAAAAGTAAAGAGTTTTAGTGTATTGTGGCGAATTAGTGTTGGATTTTCTTGTTGCAACACCCAACTGTAGTAAGTAATTATATGTAGAATTTATGTTTCAAAACATAACAACGGAGATCAAAAAGAAAAGCAAAGGAACAGAGACGGTGGGAGAATACATCCACATATTTAGTGGTATAAACAAGGAAACTAGGACAAAAAGAGGCGTTTCGGTAGCTATACACAAAATACTAAAAAAACAACATAAAAATTTGAGAATAGACGAACAAATTATAAAAATCGAAATATACAAAGACCACCGACAAATTATAATAATAGGAGTATATGCCCCTAGCGACGATGCTGATCCTATAACAAAAGATGTTTTTCAATAAACTAACGCACATAATGGTGCGTTTAGACTTGAGCACGCACGAGCTGAGCGTGCACGCACGGCATTCGTTCGCGCTCTCGGCTCTGTTCAAATTAAATACTCATTTTTCGACGAATGAAGTGATCCATTTGTGCGCGCACAGCAGAGTTGTGTTGGCGAAAATAATGGACGACCAAGAAATAGTCGAGGCTGCAGTCTTTGTTATGCACAGCTTAATTACTAAAAAGAAGAAAATTCGAAAACATCGTCGCTGGTGGCAAACCCAAATTTTTAGAAATCGATATAATTTACTGCAACAACTTAGTGTCTGAGAAGGGCTATGACCAGTTCAAAAATTTTACAAGAATGACCAGGCCCGACAAAATTTAATAACACCAAAAATTACGAACAAAAGGTACAATAATACAAATTTTAAAATAGCAATTTCATTAATATCGACATATTCAATATTAATTTTATTTACAAGGTTTTGCCATGCGTTATATTTTTTTTTTATTTTTTAATAACACAAAGAATGTTTAACATCCCATAATATAGGCAACTTTTCATATTTTTCAATTAATAATAACGAAGATTCATTGATCCACTCCATAATTTTAATAAAGAAAACGAAAAAAAATCACACACGTAGGCACGAACGCAGACAAACAAATTGCCGGTCCAAATTGAGCATTCGCGCACACATAAAATCCCTTTGAACACGGACCAAAAACCGACACCAGACGGCTCACGTTCGCGTCTGCTCGCGCACAGATAGATTCGGAGTAAGCGTGCGCGCACAGTCGTTTACACTTGAGCATTCGCGGATGATCAGTGCGTGCGTGCTCAAGTCTAAACGCACCATAATACCCGACATTAAACATGATAAAGAAAAACGGACAACGTAAGAAACAGAATGGTGGTCTGAAAACCTAAAAAAGTTTATAGAAGAAAAAATCGATCCTAGTAGAGATGGTTTAGTACCCACAGCGACCAGAACAGAGCAGAATATGCAAGATTAAATAGAATAGTTAAACGCGTAGTATTTAAAAGCAAAAACGAAATGTGGGAAACCAAATGTGAGAGAGTGAAAAGATACATGCGAGGTACAAGAGTGGAAGACAATAAGGAACCTTAGAAGAGACGAAAAGCAAAACAGTAAACTAAGTGGGAAGACTATTACAAACAGTTACTAACAGAAACCAGGATAGAATTCAAACTAGAAGTGCCAGATTTGAAAAACGCAAAAATCTATACCAATATATAAAATCCTTAAGTGACTGACTCACTAATTAATCACGATCCTGCTCAAACCACTCAACGTAAGAAGCTCAATTTTGGCACACAGGTTGATTCTAGGATGTAGAGGTTCGATAAGAAGGGATTTTTCGAAATTCCAGTTCCAAGGGGGTGAAACCACCCCTCAAATATTACAATACTTTTTATTTAAAAACAGTTAAATTTACGATTTTTGGAAAACGGATTGACTTTAGGGTGTAGAGGTTCGATAAGAAGGGATTTGTCGAAACTCTAGGGGGTGAATCCACCCCTCAAATATTAGAATATTTTTTATTTAAAAATCGGTAATTTTTTTCCGAAAACTCTTAACTCTTAAACACATATATTTTATTTTGTTGTTTTACATATTTTAAGATTTTTTAAAAATTTATACAGGGTGTTTCATAAAATATGACCATTGAGTAATCACGATTCTGCTTAAACTGCTTGACGTTTAAAGCTGATTTTTGGTAAACGGATTGACTGGGGGGTGTAGAGGTTTGCTAAGGAGGGATTTCTCGAATGTCAAATTCCAAGAGGGTGAAAACGCCCCTCAAATATTACAATATTTGTTATTTAAGAAACGGTTAGTCTTTCGGGAAAACGCTGACAATCAACAAAGCTCAAGGGCAATTTTTAAGTAGAGCTGGAGTGGACTTACGCTACGATTGCTTTTCCCATGGTCAACTCTATATATATATATATATATATATAAAGATAATGCAAAAAAACGTGGTTTGCAAAGAGGTACTTAAATAAGGCTTTATTTAAATACCTTTTTATATCTCTTTTGTTATCGCAGTACTTTTTTCAAATCTACCCCTAAGGAGGTGAAATGGGATGAAAATGATTTTTATCTTTCATATTGTTACGTTTTTTTCGTCGGTTCCGTGTGGATAGTCACAATTTATTTAAACACAATTTATTTAACACTAATTAACAAAAACAATAACGAGACTAGAAGACTAGAATAAAAGACTTAAAGAACTATTTATAACTTATTTACAATTTATCTAATTATTTATCTAACAGAAATTTATTTTGAATTAGCGCGGCGATTGTAACTGTACGCGTCGATCGGTTATTTATCTCTGTCCTCCTTAGGCCCCGGCGTCTGCTTATATAGGAGAGAAACAGACAATCCAGATTTGTCTAGTCAATTCTTATTCGTTCTAGAATGTCGGCATCGCTGGGCGTATGAGTCATAGGCGAGTGGCCAGGCCTAAGGCTGAGTTCACACGGCACGGGTCCGCAACATTACGATTATGTTGTAGAAACCCGCCATAAGTTTCTATAGAAAAATGCGAAAACTAAATTTATTCATATTAGAGTAGGCTGAAAAAATAAATTATAAGAGCTTCTTTTTTCGCCATATTAGGAATTTTTTTCAATCGTTTCATTCAACAGTTATAATCTTTAAATATTAAGTTAGAGCTTACCCTTTTGATGAAAATTGATCGGTGTTTTTATCCAACATATACCATTACACCTAAATTTCAAATATCTATTAATCTGAACATTACAAATCTATCACTTGCAAAATATTATTTAAAATGTTTCACATAATAATTAAACACTAAACTCACAAATACAACAAAAAGTGTTAAAAAACTTGCTTTAATAACTACTTAAAACCTCTACTGAACTCTCTCACAAAAGAAAATTAATGATTTTAAACCAAAAGTGCCAAAACTTTAAGCGATACACGTACAACATACGTTGATTTTGGTTTGTTTACATTCTTTAAATGATTTTGGGAACCCCGAGAAATCGTAAATACCGTTAAGCGCACGAGGGCCCTCTACCACTCCCGTCTAATGCGACTTGCCTTGCACGCAACAGTCCGTTCACAAAAAAAAGCTTAATCCGTTATTCTATAGATGTCGCTGGGTTACCGATTTGAGTTAAATTTTTGTATTTTGGTTAATAAAAAAGTTGATCAGCATAATCGACTATCAGAAATTGTTCTAATAGTATCGAGCTTTTAAAACTCTATAAATCTAATAGTATCGAGCTTTATAAACTATATATTATCGATATATATCGATAATTTTGAAACTATCTGTTGTTATTCGATATACCGATAACTATCGATAGTTAACGATATATCGGAAAAACATCCCATTCTTATTACGGGGACAAAACTTCCTTTCCTGAAACAGTGGCGTGCTGTATCTTTTAGTTTTTTTTTTCATGAAAATTAATAATAATAAGAATATAAACATTTATTTTAGGTTCTCCTAAAGAATACAGCACAAGCAGAAGAAACACCGATATAATTTCGATGTTAGTAAACATTTACGGCAGTAAGGACCTTTTTGTGAACGAATACAGAACTCTTCTTGCTGACAGACTACTGTCACAGTACACCTGCGATACAGAGAAAGAAATAAGGTATTTAGAGCTACTCAAACTACGATTCGGCGACTCCCAATTACATTTCTGTGAGGTCATGTTAAAAGATATCGCAGATTCGAAAAGAATTAACCAGAGAATCAAGGAGGATACGGAATATTCAGAAACTGAGTTACCTTTGTCTACAATGATAGTCTCTCAACAATTTTGGCCACCGTTCAAAGATGAAAAGTTGGAATTGCATGAAAATATAGTGAGTCAAATGAAGAAATTTACTGCATGTTTTGAAACGCTGAAAGGCAGTAGAACGCTCTGCTGGAAAAATCATTTGGGAGTGGTCAATTTGGATATTGAGCTGAATGATAGAAAAGTGAATTTTTCCGTTTCGCCTATTCAGGCAACTATACTGATGCATTTTCAAGATAAAGGTAATATTCTTTTCTTTTTTCTTAATACAAAATGAACCCCTGTATTGTAAAAGCTTCATAGGTTTCCTACTTGAAATTTTTACTGTGAATCTTTTTACACAATATGTTGAATGACAATGATTGAATGTGTTATAAACAGAACTGCAACAAGTCAGTTATAAAAAGACTTAAGTCTTAAATCATTTCTAAAATCATAGTCAAGTCATTTTTGTCACAACTTAAATCAATAGCAGCTCTGTTTATAAAGATATGTGTGTACAGGGTGTCCCAGTTTCTAGTTCATTATTGGCATCTTAAAAACTAGAAAAGTTGCGCAATTTGACGCTGATAAAAATGCCACCATATAAATTTTAAAATTCTGAATATTATTCTATTATATGAGAATATATCAAGTCTGGAAATTACAAAATTTTCGTTTAACATTTCATAATCAATTAAAGCTTCATAATTCGGAAATGGTTGAATTTAGGTACATTATGCGTATTACGATTATTGATTAAAATTGGAGGAAGAATTGAAATATGCAATAATGTACAGGGGGCTGCATTTAACAAAAAATAAATTTTGATTTGCCACAACTTTGTGACCGACCCTGTATATTTAAATGTACTACTAGCTACTAGACATTTAAAAACCCTATATCTTTTGTATTTAACTTTTTGCGGTACCTTGTATATTTTACCTAATAATCGACCGTTTCCATACATATCAGCGACCCTGTACAGGGTGGACCATTTTGGTTATTTCTATAGGGTATCTAGGAAACCGTAAGAAATATTCAAATTTTGATACTGCAGTCTTGGGTTCTTTTTTTGAAAAAATCACAATACCGCAAACGGATCATGGCTATCTTGATCGGTTTCGAAGCTACAGGGGGATTCTCAAATTTTCTACTTTTTGGAGATCAAGTTTGTTTATTTCAGCAACTACGCAAAAATGAATTATACATTCTAAAGGCACTTTTCTATGCTGAATGCAGTGGCGTAGTCAGACTTTTTCGAAAAAAAATATTTTTTTAGATATTAACTATACTTCTTTTTTTTTAATTATAACCCCCTGTATATTTTTAAATTTCCTGATTCAGCTTGACATGGGCTTCTCGAAAATATATAACACTCTATATTTATTTTCACTATTATGATAACTCAACATTTTAATTTTTTCTTAAAATATCCAATTAGTAGTAGGCCGCGCCGAGTAACAAAGTAAACGGTTGTTATGGTGATCGGGACATACCTTTGATGGACACTTCATTTGAACAGATTGAAGTGTGTGTATTTTAAATAATAAAAAAATGAGTAAATTTGAAAATTTTGAGAAATATAATATGTTAGAATGTTATATATTGAGTCTAACAAACATAAGCAAATGGCAGCTGATTTATATTTTGAGCGGTATTTTGAGCGCGAGCAACCCAAACCCAGCCCTTTTTAAAAGGTCAGAAAATAGAGTTTAATCCTAGCCACCTAGGTCACCTGATATCACTCTCTTGGACTTCTTTCTCTGGGGCCTTCTGAAAAACGAAATTTATCGAAATGCAAATAGAACATTAGAAGAGTTACAAGATAGTTTTGTTGTGGCTTTGCAAAGTGTAACCAACATACACATTTGAAATGCTAGCCAACTCCGTCTAGATAATAATGGGCAGCAGTTTGAACATTTAATGTAGCCTTTGTGTTTTTATTTTTTATATTAATTTAGAAGCACGATTGAAGTAACCTGTTGAGTTTGTATTAAAATATGTTCTTTTGTTTCTGTCACACTTATTTTTTATTTGCTTCGTATTGTTCGAATTTATTTAATTGCTAATACATGGATTAATTTTAAAGTAGATATTCGGTTGTTTTCTTTAATTGGCATGACCTACCAAGAGGAAAGTCGATATCTTTAAATAAATTGGAATTTTAAAGTTAATAGTGAAAATACATATATAGTGTTATATATTTTCGAGAAGCTCATGCCAAATTGTAGGCCGTTGTTCTCTATTATTTAAAGAAATATTTTTTTCGAAAAATGTGAGGGATGTCTCACTATTGGAATTACATGTACATTTTCTTGTCAGTCGCTGGCAGTCATTGGCAGTCTTACGGCAGTCGCATATAATAATTACATGGCAGTCATAGGCAGTCTTCTTTGCAGTCACTGCCAGTAAAGTGATATTTTGGCAGTACAGGTACATTTTTACCCAAGTGAGACGCCCCTCGGAAAAATGTCTCACTACGCCACCACACAGAAAAGTGCCTTTAGAATGTTTAATTCATTTTTGCGTAGTTGTTGAAATAAACAAACTATCGAACATCTCCAAAAAGTACAAAATTTGAGAGTCCCCCTGTAGCTTCGAAACCGATCAAGATAGCCACGATCCGCCATTTGCGCCATTGTGATTTTTTCAAAAAAAAGAACCCGAGACTGCAGTATCAAAATTTGAATATTTCTCACTGTTTTTTTCTAGATACCCTATAGAAACAACCAAAATGGTCCACCCTGTACATATATCCTGTAATAATTATAAAAGTATTCGGCATTTTTAAACTTTTAAGGTGGAATTTTGTTAATCATCAAATTGCGTAACTTTGCCTCCATTTAACTCATCTCATCTAGTTTCCAACATCCCAATAATGAGAATCGAATTCAGAACACTGTACTATTTAAGTCAAATAGGAATCTTGATATGTGAAGTTTTTTGTACAGTGGATCACTAAAAAATGTCTATACCTATGTGGCGGATTCATCTCTCCAAAAAAATCCTTTATGGGTATTTCGCCACTGCACTGCAAGAAAATCTACAAAATAAAATAATAAAAATAAAAGACACAATGATAACAATACACAATATATACAACTTACAATTCCATACATACGAGGCGTTTCGGAAAAAATAAGAACGATAGGAAAATATTATAACACGAACATCTTTCAAAACACAAAATACACTTAGATCCATTTTATCACATACTAAACCAATGAATATAGAATAACAAACAAAAAATGTAATATACCAAATACCGTGTCAATGCGATAAATTTTACATTGGTGAAACATCTAGACCCTTAAATGTTAGAATTAAAGAACATAAAGATTATTTAAGAAAGGGAGATTTTCACAAATCTAAGATTTGTCAGCATTCATGGGACATGGCACAGAATAAATTTTAATAACGCCAAAATTATAAGGAAAGAAGCGATAGCCTCTAAAAGAAAAATAAAAGAAGCTTTTTTAATTCAATCTAATAAAAATAAATGTATTGCTCATGCATCTGTAGATGTGAGTAATGTATGGCAATCGCTTCTTTGATTTTAAAGAACATAACATAAATAAACATAACATACGTAAAATTTAAAAATCATCATACAGAAAGTTTGGGGCTTTTTGGTTTTACCTTATTAAGTAATTGTTATCAGGTAGTAATAATTGTTAATTTTGAAGTTTAACTTGATATAATGTCCTTTTAACAGAACGTCAACGGTTTCTTGTAGACGTATCTGTTTTAAAAAAGTAAAGTGTTCTCGAATAGTTGAATTTAAATATTTTAAATAGTTTTTTTCTTTATTCTTTGTATTTTTTTTGCTTCCGACGAGACTTTTTTTTGCTTGCTAGATAAATTTTCCGAAACGTTAAGCATTTTTTTTTGTTAGGCAAATTTGTATAACTGTAAACATAACTTCTGACAAGCAGTGTCCGTTTAGGTTTAACGCCAGAAGTGTTTACAAAAAATAACTATTCTATTTTGTAGATTTTCTTGCAGTGCAGTGGCGAAATACCCATAAAGGATTTTTTTGGAGAGTGGATCACTCTGTAGATATCACCAGTTTAATATTATTGTTTTAAGATACTTGGGAATTGGAGGAATTAAGTAAAGTAATGCAATGCCCTCCGACAATCTTGAGACGTAAAATAGGCTTCTGGCTGTCTCACAGTGTCCTCACTGAAACACAACTCGATGTTTTCAGTGTCCAAGAGGCAGTCGAACATAAAACAGCGCCTCAAGAAGAGTTTTATGTCGAGGAATTTGAATCAGAATCAGCTATGGCCAGTGCACAGGATCAGAAAGAGGAAGAATTACAGGTAAAACTCTTTTTAGTGTGTTTTTAGTGTATTTACATCATTTTTTTATAATTTTTTAGAACATTTGGTCATATATTCTTGGGATGTTACTGAATCTCGATAGTTTGCCGCTTGAAAGGATTCATCATATGTTAAAAATGTTTGCTTTTCAAGGGCCTACAACTGAGTGTAGTCAGTCCGAATTAAAAGTGTTTTTAGATAGGAAAGTAAGAGAGAGACAATTAATTTTTGCTAATGGTGTATATAAATTACCAAAATAAACTATATTTAAACTACACTTCCTTTTATTTTACTGCAAAAAAAAGTTTTATTTATTTTTTTATTAATTTTCAAATGAAATATTTAACAACTGATGTAGAATCATTAAAATATAGTGTATATTCAATATAGTATATTCAAGTATTATTAGTAATAAGTAATAACTGTCAGCCAGTCTTCATTGTAAAATCAGAACCTTTTTCTATACAGTATTTTAACAGGTGGAAACTTCACCCGCACGCCTATGAGTCTGTTTGCCGAAAAATGTGAAAAACATTTTTAGGACTGCAGGTTCAACTAGGGACGGTGCAATTTTTGAATTAAAAAACGCTACTTCCAATTTATTTTAAAAAGGTCAAATAGAAAATGCGTTTCTTTTGTCCATAACTACTACGCCTTAAAATATGAGTACTGATTTGAAGATTATTTGTATGATAAAAAGGAGCGTTATATACCCAAATCATATAATTTATATGAATATCGATGTTTCCATACTATATTTCCGTCCCTAATCTAACTTTTTACCACAGATTACATTCAAATAATGAGCTAACTTCGCTACATTACCCAGTTAGTGAAATATCATCTGTCAAAGAAACATCGTCTGGCATTTTGGCAATTTAAAAGATGCCAAATATTTTTACGATTGTTAATAAAAATGCGATACAAACGCGTGTTGTGGACCGTTTTGTTTTTAGTGGAATACGTTTTTTACTCGGACTGTACCCACATTAAGGGAACGTTCAAATCGAACGAGTTTTTCAAATTTTTAGTAAAATATGGTTTCCAAAAAACGGACAGACACTCTCCAGATGTATCTCACGGATATATTTTCGGAAACATTACTTCTAACTCGCATTTAACAGTGCCGGTTACCTTCGCCGTTTTGGACAGGTCGTACTTTTTAGACTATTACAATAATAGAGTTATGTATGATAAAGATGAAGCTTGCAAGAGAATGTTTAGTAAGCTGAACAAAAGGGCCTACGACCCTAAATGTAGTTACGATGGAAGGGATTACTTGAGAAGGATCCCCTGTCCTAAAGGTCATTTGTGTGTGGACGAAGATAACCAGTGGAACGTGGTGAAAAATCACCAGTTTACCTATGTCATACAGGACTTCAAACAGCCTTCGTAAGTATCTATCCTTTATAAACATCAAAGACTCAATAATGTTATGAAATCCACAAAATTTTTTACAAGATACAATTACATAAGTTGACCATAACTTGTTACAAAAGGTGCAACAGTTCTTGTTACACTTTCTCTTTAAATTTTATAGCATATTATTTGTCAACATGTTTAAATCTTTTAAGATATTAATTCTGTACTGATAATAATAATGTAATTTTTTTAATATAAATCCATAGGTAAATAGATATTTTAATGATAAAAAAGTATTTATTTTCCTTACTCTGTGATATTTTCAATCACAATTTAAAATATATTTTAGTAAATGAATTTTAAATTGTGATTGTAAATGATAAATACAAGGGTTATCTGAAAAGTTTTTGACCTTTGCAAGAAAATTTTGTAGAAAAATATAAAGTTTCAAACAAAATGATTTTGGAAACTCTTTTCAGACTTCCCTTGTTTAGACCCCATTTTAATTGCTTTCTTTTAACAATTACAGCTTTTGGTACGTATCTATGGTAGCTTGTTACCACAATACAACCACTTGTGAATGGCATTACTACAATTCGCACACACCTTTCGAGATTGATTATGATATTTGGCTGGTCAATGGCAATCCGAATAACTCAGCCTTCACCACCTATCAATATTCGTTTGATAGACAAAATATTCTGGAACTTTATATTGTTTTCTGGCTATGCTACATGGTGTTAGTACCATTACAGTGCCATGCAGTTAGAATTCAAAAACATCCAGTTACTAAGTAAGTCTTCAAACATCTAGATTAAAGGTTTACTATAATATTAATTATTTACAGATTGTTTACTGCTAGTCTAATAATGGATTTTGTGGCGTTGTGTTTTAATTTGATCCATACCATGAAATTTGCACTAGATGGCGAAGGATATCCTAAAATACAAATGACGGGTGATATTCTAGATATATTATCAAGGGTTGGTGGCGTTTCTTTCTTTATTGTTATTAGTTCTTAGAATATGTTTGTTTTTATAGACCTCCTTCATGCTGTTGCTTTTACTTCTTGCAAAAGGCTGGGCTGTGACACGACTGGAATTGACGTGGAAACCGCTAGTTTTTGCTATATGGTTATGTTACGGTGTTGTACACATTCTACTATATGTTTGGAACTTGGTAGATAGAAATCTCAACTTGTTTTAAATATATTTTTATTGTTTTAAATCATTTTAGACCGAAGTAGATATAATAGAAGACATAGACGAATACCAGACTTGGCCTGGTTGGTTGATGATTGTATTCAGATCATTGATAATGTGTTGGTTTCTTTATGAACTACGTACAACAATGTTATATGAACACAACACGCAGAAATTGAACTTTTTACTTCATTTCGGAGCCTCTAGCTTAGTTTGGTTTATCTATTTACCTATTTTAGCACTTATTGCATTACACGTCTCAGCACTTTGGAGATATAAATTACTTTTAGGTAAAAATTTAATATCTTACAAAATTTCATAATTTCGGTATTATTTTTATGATCTTCTAGGTATCACTTATTCAGCTGACTGTTTTGCTTACTGCGTAATGGCGCATCTTCTATGGCCGACACGCTCAGAACAATATTTTCTTTTAAAAGGACCTTCTTCGGCTGATTTAGAAGAATTGGATGAATTTAACGAAGCACCTCATATAGTTAATAACTCCTACACATCCCTAAGCAGTTTAGGATCCGTTGATATCTGCCGATATGAGGATCCGCCAAAAAGTAAAGCTGTACAAGCTTAAACGATTGAAAATCTCGATTTTGACGGTTTTTAAAAAATGAGGTAATATGTCAGCAATACAGCTTTCTCTATATGGGAAAATTGGAATTTATACAGAGGTCTATTATACATATAGCATGTGTCATGTAAATATTAAGATTTAATATGGTTATGTCAAGAAGGAAACGTGTATATAGACTGGATATTGAAGCTTTGATTACGATTACGGTAATGACGAAGTTTTTTGTCATTCTAATTTCACTCCTTAATATGTGTTGTAATTTTCAAACTCACTGCAACCCAACCAAAACCAAACTACCTAATGTTACTTTTTTTACGAGTGGCAGTTATTTTACCAGATATATTGGTTGTTTTTGATTAGTATTTGTTGTTTATATTTCTGTGATTATAGGTTATATAATTTTTAAACTATATTGGAGTGTTTGCTCATTAGTATTATACTTATAATTGTTTCGGTTTATTTAGTATTTATAATGTTACTATTTGACTAACTACACTGGTGCCAATATAATATTAAGAATTTTAGTAGCAGACCAAGAGAAGTGATAATAATAAACAGAATCTTTGGAGTAACTATTTGTTATATACAGGGGTTCTCTGAAAAGTACCCAATCTCACAATGATTCAGTTGTTACAAAACATTTTTCTTTAATTTTGGGCCAAGATTTTATATTTCCATTAATTATTACTATTAATTTTATTTTAGTAGGTATTATACAGGGTGGTCCGAACTGTATTTCGGAAACTTCGGCAGCATATTCTACAGATAAAAATAAGTAAAAAGTTTGTATAAATGTATGTCCTAAAATGCTCAGTTTCAGATTTACAGGGTGTAGAAGTTTCATTTTTAGATCGATTTTTTTCCAAATAATATATGAAGTAACGTCAATATTTGGATGAAAATTGGTGTCTGGGAGTTTTTTGACATGACAAATTTGATTTTGATGTTAATAATGACTCCTACTTGTAGAGGGCGCCACTTACACATTTTTTACTGGTTTGAAGAGTAATAACTTTTCGTCCGTACCTGTATAAAACTACTGGGTACAAAAATATACATTTACGACGTTTTTTATGTAAAAAAGGTCTCTTGGTAAAAATCGCTACGAGTAGTGGTTTCCGATATATTTGAATCGAAATTACCAATACCTGTCATTATTGACATAAATTAAACATGTTGACTAAATATTTATTAGACTGAAATTATGAATTTGAAATGTCTTTGTGCCAAAAGTTCAACACAAACTGTTTTATCATATTTTTTTCGCAGAAAAATGTATGATTAATTTAAAGAAATTAAAATTTTACAAAATTATTATTTCAGGTCAAATAACTATCTACTCAACGTGTTTATTTTTTGTCAATAATGATATGTATTAACTACTTCCATTCTAAATATCTTGAGAACGGTTGCTCGTAGCGATTTTTACAAAGAGACTTTTTTATGTAAAAAGTCACAGAGATTTTGCGTATTTTCTCACTCAGTAGTTTTATACAGGTACGGACGAAAAGTTATTACTCTTCAAAAGAGTTAAACATATGTAGGTGGTGCCCCCTACAAATAGGAGTCATATTGACATGAAAATATTTTATGTGAACTCCTAGACGCTAATTTTCATCCAAATTATTGACGTTACTTCAGAAATTATTTGAAAAAAATCGAAATAAAAATGAAACTTCTATGCCATGTATCTCCGAAACTAAGCATTTTAGAACATACATTTATACCAACATTTTTACCTATTATCTGCAGAATATGCTGACGAAGTTTCCGGAATACAGTTTGGATCACCCTGTATAGTTTAATATTTTTTAATTGTATATAGTGTGTGTGTATACAATAATTTTTCTGGTAAAATTATAAGATTATAAATAGGTTTAAAAATAATCTACCCTCTGTTCATTAAAGAGTTTATTATTATCGCTTCTAATGTTATTTTCCTTTATTTTGATATTTTTTTGTATATTTTTAGAGAATTTTATTGATGTAGAGATTTATCCTTTGTAAGGGCTCTAACTCACTGACGACCAGGTCGCAACCTGGCCGGATGTATTGCGTTTATAGCTGCGGCCAGATGAACGACCAGTTTCAACAGAGTTGTCAGATCTAACGATTTTTTACGTTTTACCAATTAGAAAATATTGTTTCAGAAAGAATTAAGTTTCAGAAATGTTAACATATCCGAGTTAACTAAAAAGCGAAGTTGCTATTCATGAGCTTATTAAATGTTCTAATATTAAATAATGCATTTAAAATATTCTTGGATTTTTCGTTAATAAATACTGGTGTGGTAAATGGAGTAAGTAAAATCTCCAACCCCGACTATAGGAGAACGTCGTTATTTCCATGTTTTTCAAATCCGCGATGCCTGCTATTCCATCAGTCGTTTCATAACAGAATATTCTACATCCTACGTCTATGTAATTTAATATGTGTAGAGTGAGACATATAACTCGTGAAATTTTCAGCATTATATCAATAAAGGACAAAATCAGTATTGTTCCTAAAGGTGCGTCCAGACTTGGGCCTTTTAGCCCGAACGAACCGAGCGCGCACGAACAAGCAGAACAAATAGGCCGAACAAAAAGCATTGTGTACGCGCGACAGACAAAAAGAGAGATATTCTGTTTCTTTTTTCTACTGATATGGACTTCTACTGATGGCTCTTATCGACTTTAGAAGTAAACATATTAGGGCCATCGTAAAAAAAGGTCGTCAGACACTGGCTCTAAATATAAGCAGGTAGAAATTTTAGCTTCCAGTTATTTCAATGTTTACAATATAAATTCCTCTTTTATTGTTACTGAGAATCTACAACAGTAAATACTTCTATTTTTATGAATGTTTAAGTTACTTTTGCTCTTAATTTTTTTTAAAATACTGACTACTACTATACTGACTGTTTTGCTTACTGCGTAATGGCGCATCTTCTATGCGCCATTACGCAGTAATGCTACTAGTGCTTCTAAGCACCTCATATAGTTAATAACTCCTACACATCCCTAAGCAGTTTAGGATCCGTAGATATCTGCCGATATGAGGATCCGCCAAAAAATAAAGCTGTACAAGCTTAAACGATTGAAAATCTCGATTTTGACGGTTTTTAAACAATGAGGTAATATGTCAGCAATACAGCTTTCTCTATATGAGAAAATTGGAATTTATACAGAGGTCTATTATACATATAGCATGTGTCATACTTCTATTTTTATGAATGTTTAAGTTACTTTTACTCTTATTTTTTTTTAAATAATGTACCTAGTAGAAATATAGTCTAATAGACCCATTTTGAAATGAAGGAAAACTTTAAATATGATTTTTTTTATTTTTTAACATCGAAACTCAAAGGTATAATAACAGGTATCATACCAACCATAAATAGAGTATGTCATATAAAAATGTTTTGAATTTTTACTAGAATCGACCCTTGATAAAAAGGGACTAGATTTAAGTTTCCCTTTGATCCAGTCTGTATACTATTTCTTTGGATGTGATGATTTTCTGCACGTGTGCAAAAACTACACTAAAACACTATATCTTATAGAAAATAAAATATTGTGCGTTGAATTAGAGGGATTTCATCTGAAAAATTATTAATTTGGAAGAAAACAAAAAGCGGCAGAAAATTATAATATTTTAGTGCAGTCTACTGGTCGCAACGACTAACGGACGGCCAGGACGTTAGTGTGCGCGGTATCATTTGATTTAATGGTTTTAGAGGTAGCAGCGGCCTGGCTGGTGCGACCTGGTCGTCAGTGTGTTCGAGCCCTAAGCTTTTGTGCACTTCAGAACTTTATAGTCAGCACATAAGCGTGTCTTTAAGCGCTAATAAGATAGTTTGTATATTCTGCATTCTTTATAAAATAAGCTGTAACTAATAAATTTAAGGTTCCACGAAGGACATAAATCAATGCACTTAGACCTTTAAACATTGTTTCTTTGTATAATTCTGATATAATATGGTGATATGTACAATATGTACTGTATATTTTATTATATTTTTTAAAGTCTTCAGAAATCATTTACAAGCTCAAATTTATAATAGTTTAAACTTTAATCAATGATTTTAAATAGACAACGGAATTTAATAGCAATGCAAAACAAAACTATTTTTTATTATACCAAAATATATGTTCTACTTTGTTTTGAATTTTGGTTTGTTATTCTTCTTGTTGCAAATATTTTTAGCAATACAATACTGTTTGGTTTATAACAGTTACATATCTTAAATTTCCTGCCAAAATTATATTAAAATGATCACGAAAAAATCATTATTAGCTCTTTATTTTATCAAGCTAAACTTTGCAATCCTTGCCAACACATGATTTGTGTCTTAAAAATGTGTCAATTTGTAAACGCCACATCGATCAACTTACAAATAAATTTATTAAAGTTTATTCTTGTAAAATAAAAGCAACTACAGCAATTTATATTGACTAGTTATTTTATCTATATCCTTGACTTTACCGGGACCTACGGCAACCACTGTTAAACTGCCATATTCAATTTGGGTCTTTCCACTGTCTTGAATTTTCGTAACTGTCAAGTTCTGTTGCTTGGCACTATTGTACAAGTCTTCTAAAGCTTTTTCACAGTTGTTACTAATCTTTAAAACTATTTTTGGTTGTCCCGAGTTCAGCCAAGGTTTTAAATAAGGGTTACCATTTTTTAGTGATTGTTTATAGAGTTCTATAGCAGCGTGTGCCACTTGCGAGGCTATTTTTCCTTTTCCCATGCCTAAATCAGTCCGAACAAGAAAAACCATCTTAGTTTGGCAAAAACCTATCGACTTAATTGGTTTAGAAAACCACATATTAACTAAGAACGTCCCTATTCTCTGCCCCATAACTACAATGCTAACACTACACTTCTCCTTTTAGTCTCTTTTCCTGATATTGCTGCATACACTTTTTAAAATCACTGACTTGATCCTGACACTTCCTCCAATCCTGCGATTCGGCAATGCATTCCTGCAAATATTAAAAAAGGGATGATATACATTTTTACATCTATGTCATCTTACAAACTTGAACTTTGAAATGTAATTCCATACAGCCGGTCTTCTTGAGCATTTCTTCAACTGGATCAGTTATTTCAGTTTCCCCATGTGCGGACATTTTTTAAAAATTCTCTAGTTCTGGAAATTATTAGGTTATAAAAAATAAAAATAGTTCAATTTGCTTAGTTAATTTGAGTTGCTGGTTGCCGGCGAATGCTGGCAACCAGATAAACATCTTCGGTATTGAGGTTAATTTTTTAATATTTAGTGCTATATTTGTTCATTTATAAATTGTAGAAAAATGTCTATTACACTAGATATCAAGCTAAAAAGAGCTGATAAAATATACAGTGAAGCAGTAGGTTCATTCGTATTAATTGTAATGTAAAAATATTCATTTAGTCTGTTTTTTAGGATATTGTCAGTGGAATCTTAGTTATCGATACCAATTCTGATTTTAAACATGATGGTATTACACTTACTATGGAAGGCTCTGTAAATCTACAGATAAGTTCGAAGAATGTAGGCATTATAGAAGCATTTTACAACTCTGTTAAGGTAAATAACACTTCTGTATTAAAAATATACATTTCTATTTTGATATTAGGATTTATAAGTAAATTATTGTAGCCCATTCAACTATTAAATGTAACTTGCGATGTAACTCAAGCCCCAGGTCGCATCCCTGCTGGAGTTACTAATATACCATTTGAAATACCGCTTAAACCCAAACCTAACAGAGTTTTATATGAAACCTACCACGGTGTATATGTGAATATTAGTTATTCGTTAAGATGTGACATAAAGAGGTCTTTTCTAAGTAAGGATTTGCAAAAGTGTCAACAGTTCTTTGTTCAGTATAAACCAGGTTCAGCTAGTTGTCCTCAGTTGCCTCTGAAAGACAACAGGAAGCCTGTGAGTTTTGAATTGAGTCCAAAAAATTTAGCATCGGGAGGATCAGGTAAATTATTATTTTTGGATCTTGAAAAGGAAAGTGTGAAGGCTCTATTTTAGGTGCTCCAGATTTTTTACTTCGGGGACATTTGGATACTGTGTGTTGTAATATATCAAAGCCTTTCAAAGGCCAGTTAACTTTAGTTAGATGTGCTGCACCTGTTAGATCAATTGAATTACAGCTGGTTAGGGTTGAAACTTGTGGCTGTGCTGAAGGATATGCTAGAGAAGGTGGTATATAATGTATTTTTAACTTATTTAAATATATAATATATCGATTTCAGCAACTGAAATTCAAAATATACAAATAGGTGATGGAGATATTGCCCAAAATATACCTATTTTGATTTATATGGTATTTCCAAGATTATTTACCTGTCCTACGCTGATAACAACAAATTTTAAAATCGGTAAGCATACTTGGATATTGAAAATACATTTTTGTCAATGTATCCTTTGTTTTTAGAATTTGAAGTTAATATCGTTGTTGTATTTGAAGACGACCATTTAATAACAAACAATTTTCCTATAATTTTAGTTAGAGAATGAAGGCCATGTATTTTTTTATTTTTGTATATATTGAACTTGTAAAGAAAAAATTATAAATATTTGTTGATATTTGTTTAAAACTATGGTTTAAAACTTTGGTTAGCATTTGTTTTCGAATATTTGAACTACTGGAACTAATAATGTCATTGGTGTAACCAGGTGTAGGTGTAACCAAAGATGTTCGAAGTTCATTCGAAATCGCCCACAGACTAGGGATGGTGAAATTCAAAAAATATCGATATGTGGTATTATCAACGCTCAAGTTAATTATGCCGGGAGAAGCCACGGAGAAGCATTATTAACAAGTGATAGATTGAGATTACTATAAAATCTGTAATTAATATCCAAAGTTAGTCTAGAATAGACCGTCATTGCTAGAAATAATAACAGAATTTAAAGTTATTTAGGTATTTGCGAGGGTATTTGTATAAAAAGTATCATGTTCAACTTGCATTATTAATTCTCATTTTTATTTTTCTCTTTTCCAATGACCAAGTTTATATACATTAGCTACGAAGCTATGTTACTATCAATGTGCACAATGTAATGCTAACTATAATGTAAATATTTTTTCAAAATAGTACGTAATAATTTATAATATAAAGTTCTATGATCAGTTTACCGTACTATAAGCCACAGAAAAGTTCTGATATATCTACAGCGACTACAGTTCTTTTCGATTTACAACTGATTTTGTTATAGATATCGATTTAATTGATATATTTAAAATATCGATATCTAGTCCCCTTCCCTAGTGTTGACCCGTAAACAAGACCTAACCACACTCTGCTCTGAGCTCTGACATTTGTATAAAAATAATTTTAAAAGAAATGGTGAGGAAACGGACGAGAACATCTAAACCAAGAAGGAATTCGAGGAAGGCTTACGAAAGTGACGAGAATGATAGCGATATCGATTTAGATTTGGACAGTCCCCCTTCGTCGCCGGCGCCGAAACGCTATGGCCTCAGACAGAGGAAACAACCTGTATTATTCGAAGACTTCGACTACGAAGACGACGACGAAGTCGCAGTCCAAAAACGGACGTCCGACGACGACGATTATCAAGTAGAAGTCGATTTGCAAGAGGGTATTGCTACGAAACATACCGTATCTAGACGGCCAAGCCGAGAACACAACTCACTAGAAAGTAGTTCATGTTATAAAACAGAATCGGAAACTGACGAAATATCACTGGAAAACGGCCTGATCGACTTCGAAGATGTGATCAGGGCCGATGTGGTAGTTAATAAACAAAGAGTCGATTATGACAATTTAATAAACAAAACAGAAATTCAAGTTGTTGAATCGTTACCAGCACCACCTATCAAAGGTATGTATATTATTAAAAGACAACTTAGAACGTATTTTTCAACCAAGTTTTTCTTCTAGCAAGGAGAGGAAGGAAGCCAAAACCCAAACCCGATCCAGCAGAAGTTAAAAATGAAATATCCAGTGAAGAGCCTCTTAGTCCTCTGAACCAAGTCCCAGCGGAAGATTCAGGGGATCAAGACAATCACACAACAAATTTAGAAGTACAAATAGACCCCTCTAGCCTAGTTCAGTGTGATTCAGATGATAATGAGCCATTATCTAAGCTAAACGGAGTCATATCTCTAGATAATAACACTCACAAGGCGTTAGACAAAGAAAATTCAGAGACCGTAACTGAAAACGGGGTTATTACACCTGCTCCATCGTGGATAGACAAAATAGAGAAGTACGTTCCGCCAGAATTGGATGAAAAGGATAAGGAAGTGATGTTGAGTAACGAGTATCTTCTTGCAAACACTTTTGATGTGGGTGCGGACGAATTTTTACAAAAACAGGAAGAAAAGAAAGACCAAGTAGAGGAAGAGGAAGAGCATATTCCTGTTATGTGTTTTGATGACGATGATGGTGATGATAGTAGTGATGATGTGGTTATTATCGAAAAGAAACCGGAAGTTGTTATAATATTAGATGATGATTGAGAGAGTGTGCATGGAGTGGCTGCGCGTAAAAACATTTTTAAGTAATACTTTCTGTAACGGTTTAGTTTTTGTGATAATGTTGATGCACTGAGACCATCTAAAAGAAGTTTTATTTTTTTTTTAGAGTTGTATAGTTGTAATCACTATATTCTCTCCAAGTGGAATGTGTAGACACTGTCAAAATTCTGTAATTTTAGTATTTATTTTAAGTTTTTTTTTTGTTTTTAATTATAATTTTTATAGAATTGTAACTATAAAAAATGTGTATAAAACTAAAAATCTTTCATAATAGGTATTTAGTCAGTTTCTTGAATTTTGGATTATTACATGCCCTTATTATAAGTACATATTCTATTTTATAATAAAATTCATCAATAATTCTTTACCTGTATTTCACTAATTTGTTTCTAATTGTTTTTTTATTTATGCTGTCATTTTTTGTTCTGTGCTGTCTGTACTACTTGATAATAGTGAAATTTTTCTATTGTGAATAGATATTTTTAGGTTTGGTTTTGATGTTTTAGAAGAGATAAAGAATTCTGGAAAAATTCTTATCAATTATTGTTATGGAGAAGCATTTATGCAATAAATGGAGATCAAAAATATTGGTAATTTTTAAGAAACGGATATCTTCTCATTTTCTCATTTAAATCAACAATAACTGTATAAAACATGAAATTTTGTGATTGATAGTTTTAAAGATATTTTGGAAATATGTCAAACTTTGATGAATTTTTGCCTGGGTGTAAGGTCAAAAAATGAAAAATGATCTTAAGTATTTTTTTCAAATAAAATTGTATTAACGGCAAAATAAATGTTTTTCATTTGATTATTTTTCTATGCAGTGCTTTATGCTGGAAGTACACACTCGCCGAGGCGCCCCGAGACAGCGTAAAAACACTCCAATAAAATTTTGCAGTAGGTACATAAATAAATATATTCTGAAGAATAATTTTGTAAAAATAAAAACAATCGGGCGCTCAACGATGTAAATTTAATAACACTTTTAGGAAAATTTGGGCAAAAATTTTTCTTAAATCCATTTAAAACCAACCTGAAAGTCCAGCAAATAAAAAAAACAGTGAAATCCACAAAATCAAATTGCATATACCGTATGATCGAATAAAAACGGCGTCATTTTATATGTAAAATTATATTGGGAATGTCATCGATCGTCATTTCCAAGCCAACTGGACGCCATTTTTTTCGATCATACGGTATTAGTTTCAAACAGAAAAAGATCAATCCGCCTGTGATTATTTTTGTTTTCATTGTATTTTTGGTATTTTATAGAAGCATACTCATCTACGCTTTGTTTTTTGATCCTTGGCTGTTACGTCACAAATTATCATTCAATTGTCCGTGTTCATGAAAAAAATAATGAAAACCAATATAACGTCGAAAATGATGACGTAACTGCCAAGGATCGAAACAAACTGTATTTTGGACTTTATGTTGCCGAGATGAGGCGTATTAAAATTAAAAAAACAATACTGCATAAAAACGTAAAATATTTGCTATTTTACCTAATAATATTTACATTATAAAAAATAAATCTTTATTTTTAACTGAGGATAAAAGAGATTAATCAATAATTTTGTAATTATTAGAGTAATAATTCTTATGTTAATGGTGACAAAAAAGCGAAAACAGCGTCTAGAAAGTCTGTATCATAATATCTTTCATGTACATTATAATTTTCTTTGTTTAAAAGATGCAATAACCACACGTTTATACCAATAACGACATGTTTTTTGCTAATATCTCAAAATGGATTCGTTTTGTTTGATCGCTTCTCAATTATTAAAATAAACGTAGATACTTATAGAAACTAATGACTATTTATATTAGGTTGGCAGGCATATATTTGAATTTGAAAACTTTCCATGAAACTGAATTAAAACCTCGTGCATAGCTTTTAATATCTTAAACGGCCCGAAAAGTGACCATTAATAAAAAAAAAATTCTACAGTTCTCTTAACAGATTTTTCGGTACTTTGACTAAAATGGTTTATCCACTGTATTAATTATATATTTATATTTTAATAATTTAAATACTGAAAATAGGCGTCAACTCAAAGGCAGTTGAGAAGACGAACTAAGGCTGTGAACTAAGGAATGCCGATCTCCCGAGAGCACCGTGTATATTTTCGCGGGACCTCCTACTTAACGCTTTCGCCATAGAGAAATATAATATCTATTGTGTCTCTCTTTTATTTAGTTTCTCTGTGGCTCTCGTCTCCTTTGACTCGTGCTGGAGACCGCCTCTAGACCGAGCGCTCCCAAGACGAGGCGAGAGTCACCGAGGCAAGACGAGAGCCCCAAGTTCACATTCGCCTTGTCTCGCCTCGGGCTCCTCGGCGAGTGTGTACTTGGTACAAAAATGGTACAAAACGTTCAGATTGCGAGGCGAGAGGGCCCGAGAGCAGGCGAGAGCCCCAAGTACACACTCGCCTCGTCTCGGCCTCGGGTCGTCTCAGCGAGTGTGTACTTGCCCCATTAGAGTTAAAATTAACTCGGGTTGTAAAGAAAAAACAGGATTAAAACTAAATACAAAAACGCAAAAATTTTTAAAAATAAAACTGTATTAAAGGTAAAATACAAAATTAAAAAAAGAGAAAACAATTCTTTTTTTTTTCTAACTACATACTTTTATGTGTACTCTAGCTTGCTCTATTCATAAATAATAGTACAATTAAATGTTAATAATAAAACACGTGTCATTGCTTTCTACTTAATTATAATATAAATATATTTAATAAGGCATTTTTGTTTGTCTTATGTACCTATAGCTTAAGAGTAAAATTTACAAAAAGAAAAATCTTCAATATGACTTGACTAGGAGCTAGCCAGTACCTTCATTACCTTTTAATTATTATTTATTATGTACAGTTTTTTTAAACATTCAGTGTACATATTTGGTAACTTTTTCATATACTGAACAGAAATATACGAGGGGCAACCAAAAAATGACACAATATTAAAAAAAATACGCTACTAAGTAAAAGATTTTTGTTGCTGACAGTGACTGTTATTATTAAAATTACTATATAAAAATAAAAATAGTTTAGTGACAATAACTATTTTTAGAGTCATTTTTTAGAAACACCTGGTATACTTGTTTTAATATATTATCTATACGTTTTATCTAAAAAGTATATAATACATCTAAAAATCACATGTTAGGGCTGATGTGAACAAATTATATAATAATGGCAATGCTAGAATTACATCAGACTAAAAGTTAAAAGTTCTGTAAACTCAATTATATTGTATTTATACACGTATAATTTTCTTTTAAAATCACTTACATCGACTAATGCTCTATTTTATATTATAAATTATGTAACAAATATCTCACAACCTGGGAAAAAATACATTTTTTACAAAAGTAAAAAAAAAAATAATAGAATAATCATAAACAAAACACAACATTTTTTAATATACTTGTTAGTATTTAACAAAATAATATTTGTTTTATATAATACAATTTTTTATTGGCCTTAATCAAAGAAAAATACTATTAAAATATATTATAAATAAGGAATGCATAGCAAATCACATTCTTTTATTTAAATATATGTGCAAAATAAAAGCAAAATAAAAATAATAAAATATAAATAATATAGTACGGAAAGAATGGCTGATGCTCAGATGGCAACTAATTTTATTAATATTATGGCGAATAAAACGCATATACTTGCATTTTATTTAATAAAAAACTATTTTAACTGAAATAAATATAAAATTTAGTACGTATATTAACACCAAAGGGCCTCAAGTTTCAAAAAGGCATTTTTAGAGGTGAGATCTTGAGTTTTATAATGTTTGTGCTGAATTGTTATAAGTACTTATATTTTCCAAAAAATATATACAGGGTGGTCCGAACTGTATTCCAGAAACGGCGTCGGCAGCATATTCTGCAGATAAAAATAAGTAAAAAAAAATCGTATAAATGTATGTTCTAAAATGCTTAATTTCAGAGATACAGGGTGTACAAGTTTGATTTTTACTTCAATTTTTTCCAGATAATTGCTGAAGTAACGTCAATATTTGGATAAAAATTGGTGTCTGGGAGTTTTTGACATGAAAAATTTGATTTTGATTTTCTCCGTAAAAAATGTCTCTTGGTAAAAATCGCCAAGAACAACCGTTCTTAAAACATTTTGAATAGAAATTGTTAGTACATGTCATTATTGATAAAAAAATAAACATGTTGAGTAGATACTTATTTGACTGAAATGATAAATTTGGGAACTGTTTATATTTTTAAATTAATCATAAATTTTTCTTCGAAGAAAATGATGATAAAACAGTTCCTTTTGGCACAAAAACATTTCAAATTTATGATTTCAGTCTAATAACTATTTAGCCAACATGTTTAATTTATGTCAATGATGACAGGTATTGATAATTTCGATTCCAAATATCTCGAGAACCATATTACTCGTAGCGATCTTTACCAAGAGACGTAAAAAACGTCGTAAGAGAGAAGTAAAAAACGTTGTAATTTTTTACTCAACGTTAAATTTTTTTACTCAGTAGTTTTATGCAGGTACGGAGGAAAAGTTATTACTCTTCAAACCAGTTAAAAAATATGTAGGCGGCACCCTCTACAAGTAGGAGTCATGTTGACATCAAAATAAAACTTCTCAAGTTAAAAAACTCCCAGACACCAATTTTCATCCAAATATTGACGCTACTTCCGAAACCATTTGGAAAAAAATGAAACTTCTACACCCTGCTTCTCAGAAACTAAGCATTTTAGGATATACCGTGCTGGCAACTGTTACTTTTGGGTCGGCATTTACATATGTGGAAGTAAATCGCATAGGGATCTTATTAAGTCGGAGTGAGAGAAATGCGACCGACCGACGCGATGCGCGACGGTGTGCTGTTGCGGCGTTGCCGATACGCTTTTCCCTATCAAGTAAAATAAAATCACGATCGCAAATCGCTTATTTTTAAAAGACTTTTTTTCGAAAAGATAACTAGATAAAATCATTAGAAATGTTTTTGAGCATCTGAAATGGAATTATAAGGATATCGTTAAGGTGTCATTTTTTTATAACGAGAAAACGTCAGTAATCGCGATAATTTAAAAACTCAACTTTTTAACACATAACAAGCCATAACTCAAGAACCACTTTAGATATTGAAACTTTTTTTATTTTCAAGATTGGATATTTTACAATATGTTTACATAGGCAAGGTTGTTTTTTCCATTCAAAAATTGTAAACAATCCATCCATTTACTTTTAGAGCATAGCAATTTTCAGCAATCGTGTAATTTTTTTATTGATAAAGATTTTCACATACTGTCTACAAGGAAAATACAGCAGAAATATTAACAAAGTTCTTGAAAAAACTACAATCTATTATTTCTAATAGATTTCGAGATATCGATATTTGAATTCAGAGTTCTAATAGCCCGACCACTATCGAATACCCACTCAATTCCACTTATTTTTACCAAAAATGCAAGTGTTTCTATAGCTTGCACTTAAAAAAATTCAAGCTATAGGGAACATTACAACGACTCGTTAATAAATAAACAAATCAAGTATCACGAGACGTAATTAAATCGTGAAGCTGAACGCATGACGTACACCTTTCCCTAGAGAATTACTGACAGAGGTATTGATTGGGTCGACCGGTCAACTGCGACAAATCTGCTATATTCCCTTCCACGTCTCTTAGCGATGTGCACAGTTTCTCGGTTTATTTCATACGTTTGGCAACGTATTTGCCAGCCCTTAGTATACATATTTATACGAACTTTTTTACTTATTTTTATCTGCAGAATATGCTGCGGCAGTTTCCTGAATACAGTTCGGACAACCCTGTATAATTTCTGTGTAATTATTCGATTCTTAGACCATTAAATATGCGTGTTATGTAGAATAACATTTACAACCTTTTGAGTGAACTTATAAGTAAAATATTATTAAAAAAATATAGTGAATTAAACATGTTAAATTTGATTTGTGTCCATTTCTTACTTTATTTAGATCAGAAAAAGTATTCATGAAAGTATTGAAAAGTAATTTAGACTCTTTAATAAAAATACTGATTCTTTGAATACTGCTGCAAATAGACTAGGTCATGTATGTAATAAAAGTATGAAAAAAAAATAAATTAGTTGTTATATCAATTTATTTACATTTTAATTAGGTAATCAAAATAGAAAAAATTGCATTTTTTTATAACTTGAAAAGATGATCCTGTCTTTTTATTTTTGTGTGAAGAAGGTAGATAATTTATATATAATTTTGAAAAATCTCTTATAATAATAATGGTTTTAATAATGGTAATGGTGGCTGAAATGGTCTAAGTATCTTTCAAAAATACAAAATTGGTAACCATTACATCTAATTACCCATTTATAAGTTTAGCTTATTCTTATTACTCATATCATGGGATATTTTTATGCAATCCAAAAACTATAAAATTTGTCATATTTATTTATAAGCCAGAGATATAGAGGAAGAATAATCGAAGAATTTGAGGAAACAAATTATTACGATGCGCACCATTAAAATACTACCTACCGATTTGAAGATTTTTTTTAGTGTACCTACTTTTCAAAATTAATTACAAGATGTCAAAACAAGATGTTAAATTTTTCTCTACTACTTGAAATAAAACGTATTATACCGTGTGTTTTTGAAAAGTAGCTCGCTCCTATAACTTTTTTATTTTCTGAGATAAAAAAAAAAGAGATTTGGTATGTTATGATAGATCAGGAATGATTGACGGTATTCAATTATTACAGGGTGGCCCATCGAAAACGTTCCGCAAGGCATAACGACCAGGGTAATTTTTTTTCAGAAAATTCAAAAACACGTCAATTTTGTTTGTGAGGGGGACAACTTTTGCCCCAAAAATGATTGCAAACAGTTTTTTTCAAATGGGAAGGGAGGTCAAGTGGTACCGCAATGAAAAGGGCTTTCTATTCTCTATACATTCCCGCTTCGTTTTTGAAAATCGGTCGAGTTATTGAGAAAATATGAAGGATTGAAATTTGAAAAGTTTATTTAAACATTTATCAGAGTAAATGATAAAGATAAATTTCTTCGACTAATTTGCTGTTCTTTCTTATTATTTCTATATGTTTACGAATTTTTTCACTTGCCACAAGGTTGAACGATCAGGTGCGGTAGTTGCTAGATAGCTGTTCTGTGACTTATACGTTGAAGTTCTTCTCAATCTCGTTAAATTTTTTAACAATTATTATGGTGTACTCACTTGCAGAAAAAGTGGAAATAATCGAACTTTATTTTAAAAATAATGAATGTGGCAATCGGGTTGCGCAGATATTCAATGAACGCCATCCTGACAACCACCTTTATGGCAAAATTGTTCGCGAGTTAGTAGCAAAGTGTCCAAAGGATATTAAAAAAAAACGGAAGTTCCACCCGTACAAAATTCAGTTGGTACAAGAACTCAACGAAGACGATTTTGATCGTCGCTTACAATTTTGTGAAACTATGAGTGAACGAGTGGCGAATGATAATAATTTTCTATTTACGACGATGTGTGTTTTTTGGATGAGTGTACTTTCTTTTTGAACGGTGTAGTTAATCGGCACAACTGGTCGGTACTGGGCTGAAGACAACCCCAGGGTTTTTCACGAGGTGCACACACAAAACCCTCATAAATTGAACGGTTGGGCTGGTATTTTTGAAAATTCTATTGTGAGTCAGTTATAGACGATAGACGATATTGAGAAGAACTTCAACGCACAAGTCACAGAACAGCTATCTAGCAACTACCGCACCTGATCGTTCAACCTTGTGGCAAGTGAAAAATGCGCAAACATCTAGAAATAATAAGAAAAAACCTCAAATTGGTCGAAAGAATTTATCCTTATCCTTTACTCTGATAAATGTTTCAATAAACTTTTCAAATTTCAATCCTTCAATATTTTCTCAATGACTCGACGGATTTTCAAATATAAAGAATAGAAAACTCTTTTCATTGCGGTGCCACTTGACCCCCCTTCCCATTTGAAAAAAATTGGGGGGTGACACCCCCGCTTAGAGGGTTGAAGATTTCGCTATAATTTTTGGGGCAAAAGTTGTCCCCCTCACAAACAAAATTGACGTGTTTTTGGAGCTTCTGAAAAAAAGAATACCCTAGCCGTTATGCCTTGCGGAACGTTTTCGATGGGCCACCCTGTGTATAGTTTCGGTTACTTGGGGCAAAAGTTGTCCCCCTCACAAACAAAATTGACGTGTTTTTGGATTTTCTGAAAAAAATTACCCTGGCCGTTATGCCTTGCGGAACGTTTTCGATGGGCCACCCTGTATATAGTTTCGGTTACTTCAACTTGATTTTTAAATGGCACCCTCGATCATTTTTAACTCTATTTGCTAGAAAATCACAAATGAATAGAATGGCATATCATATATCAACTTTTTACATTTTTACTTGAACAAAAATAATATTTTAAGAGTCGATTTCACTAATCCGAAAAAATAGCAAAATAGGCGTTCGGCATTTAACGTTTTATGTAAAACTGGCTAGATATTTTGCACAAATATAGAAGGAAATTAAAGATAAAGGATTATACTATATTCGTATTGTAGCACATTTTTAGAGAACTTTTTTATTTTTAATATTTTGATGATCAAACATCAACAAAATGTTCCTTATGTGTAATGGACTAAATTTTCTCGAAAATAAAGACATAATTTAAAATTCCGTCACAATACGGAAATAGATTGAAGTTTTGTGATAACAGTGATATATAATTTATATGGTTTTGTAACAAATTGCTCGCTATTTTATGCTGAAGCTCTGCAAACCTTAATCAAAGAACGTGTTTTTGGAATTTTGGGGCTAAGCCTTAAGCAGATTTCTGAAATATAATATACCTATATTTCCTTCGGCCACCCACCCGCTTTACCCGACCCCGGAGAGCGACCCGAAAGTATATCGTAATAGGCTCTTAAATTTCAATCTATACAGTGCCATGGCTGTGTTAAAATCACTAATTTTTAATCAAGGGCCCTTAGAAAATACATTTGATAATCTAATGTTTTCCTGGCCGGTCAAAAGATAAATACCGGAAAAGCACTTTTTCATAGAGAAAACATGAACACATAATATGTTAATAATTAATGTTCAAGGAATATTGGGACACCCTGTATTTAGAGCCATCCAGCTATCCTGTAATTATATGATTTGTAATCAATTTTTTTGAAGGCTCAATAATTTGTGGCGGTAATAATTTTTGTTCCTCTATATCTCTGAAATACATACATACAACACGAAAATATCCACAACTGGACTTTTGCACAATATCTCATATATATATATATACAGGACGTCTCAAAAATATAACATTAACCTTAAAGTATCAAGGGCAAGATCAGCTTCGACGAAAGAAAGTCAGTCAGTAATGTATCTAACTACTGACTCTAACCCAACTCTCTTGCTGAACATAAGTTTTTCCTTACGAGATGTACCCATCTCTTTGATGAATCTCCGTAAACCTAAACGCCTAGTAGAAGGGTTCATTTCGCCGTTTTGGGTAGGTGACGCTTCATGTGAAGGGCTAGGTGATCGGACCGGGCGAAGGACCTTTCGCAGACGCCGCACTTGAAGGGTTTGGCGCCGGTGTGCTTCCTGTAATGGCGGGTGAGTTCGTCTGATCGCGCGAACCTCCATTCGCATTCTGGCCATTGACATTGATATGGTTTCTCCCCTGAAACATTACAAACTATGTCTTTATTTGATAGACCTAAACTTGCATAGGTTAGATTAGGAAAACTCTGTTTAAGTCCTTTGAAAAGAAATTTTTAAGGCGCGTTTTCACTCTACCAAGTATGTTCAAATGATCATTTATTATTTCGCTCTAAAAAATCATTTGATTTATCTCGTTTTGACATTTGATCGTCTATATCCGGGGTTTAAACAAAATATATTAGTACGAGAGCTAGCAACGTCTGGAAAAGAAGTATTTTAAGGAAGCTGGCTCTTTGATATATCTTTTACTATGCTCTCTGGAACAGCGGGCAGGCCGTCTGGCTCACTGGCTGCCGATAGACGTTGCGTTCACTACTGCCGCATTGAAAGAAGAAAGAAGTTCCTATATTTTTATTTAGTTTTTTAAATTTTAGTATTTGAATTTAAATCGAACAATTCTCCATAGCGCGGCGCGAAAACAACGAGATTTGGTATGTTAGAATATGACATAAATTGGGATTGATTGACATAGTCAATTGTTTTCTGTCACTTCCGGTTTCACCGGAAATGCCTAAAACTTTTGATTTTTAAATGGCACCCTCGATATTTTTTTACTTTATTCGATATAAAATGACACTCTGAATAGAATGACATATCATAAATATGTCAACTTTTGACATTTTCACATATGGTTTATTTGAAGTTATAACATGCGGTTCATAACGACAATTTGACTCGCAATACCAAGTGTGTGATATCAAATTACTGGTAAAAATGCTTTTTCAAAATATGCTAATGAGCCACCCTCGTCCCATTTGAAAAAATTGAGATATGATTAAAAATACGATTTGGGCATCTTTTAACCTGTCAGGACAAGACACTAAAAACATTAGACGAACAAGTCTATTTTACCAAGCTCCTTGATTAAAAATTAGTGTTTTTAACACAGTCATGGCACTCTAGATTGAAATTTAAAATACAATTTGTTTTTAAGCGAAAATGTCAAAAGTTGACATATATGATATGTCATTCGATTCAGATTGTCATTTTCAATCGAATGAAGTAAAAAAATACCGAGTATATAATATTTTAGAGTGTCATTTTCTATCGAATTAAGTAGAAATATACTGAGGGTGCCATTTATAAATCAAAAGTTGTAGTCATTTCCGGTGAAACAGGAAGTGACCAAAAACAATTGAATACGTCAATCAATCCCAATTTATGTCATATACCTACTAACGTACCAAATCTCGCTATTTGATCTGAAAAAATAAAAAAGTTATAGGGGGTAAACCACTTTTGAGACGCACCCGGTATAATCAAAAATAAAATAAAAAAGAAATTTTACCCCCAGTCGGTATGGATCTCGGGACTTGTTTTCGCGCCGCGCTATGGAGACATGTTCGATTTATACTCAATACTAGAATTTAACAGACTAAATAAAAAAATATACAGGGTTGTTCACCACATACGACACGGAGTATTGTAGCTAAACGATTAGATTTTTACAAATTGTAAGTTTTGGGTTCGTTGAAGGACTATTAGAGCTACAATTTAAAAATATTTTTACAAGATACAGAGTGTCCCAAATAAATAAAAAATATCAAAGTTGTATTTTTTTAAATGGAACACCCTGTATATTATTGCATTTTTAGTTTCTACGATTAAAATAAAAGTAAATTTGATTAAGGTTTATTACACTTAAACCTTACCGTTTTTGAAATATTTTCAATTTTACGAAATTGCAGTATAGATTTTAAGGCTTCATTTCTCCAAGGATATCAAAGTTTTTAATACTAAATATTTACTGAAGTTTATTTATTGATCAGTTATTGTGTTGCAATAATAAAAATTATACTACCTTATACAGAGTGTCTAAAAATTTATTTTAAATAATTACTAGCTTTAAACGGCAATAACTTATTTACTTTAAATAGAACACCCTGTATATTTTATGAGAATCAAATGCACAATTTAATTGTCTATCAAATTGTGGTATACCATTTCTTACCTATACCTTCAAGTTTTCGTAGAAAATGCATTTTCTTATAATTTAGACCTCATTTATCAATATACCCATGGAATATTGACATTTTAGATTGTTTTTATAACAACAAATGTACAAAATGTACAGAATAGTAATATTATCGTTTTTACTAAAACGATAATATTACTAGCCCATTTGTATGCTAAAAAAAAACTATTTAAATCTTTATAAAAGAGTATACCATTAATTAAATATACCACCAGTATTTCCGCCCAAATACTAATTAATTACATACTTAATTGTGTGTGTATTCTAAATAAAAGTGGATTTGAATCAGAAATCAATATAATAATAAGTTATGAAAATGAACGTCTCTGTTGTTATAAATAAGCATATGTCAAAAAATTAAATATAATTTTTAAGGTGTTACTTTTTACCACACTGTCTAATACCCATACATAATTCAGTTTTTTAGTATTTGGAGCAATTATTATTAATCAACGCAAACAGTCAATTAATGTAGTTTGAATACTGAAATCATATTAATTGGTCCTCTTTAACAAATATTTAATTAAACAGTTTTTTTTATTTTTTATTGAAATAAACTAACTATATCGACAATATTAGTATCTGTACTCTTTAAAAATTTGGTACATCTTTAAAAATAATCTAAAATGTCAGTATTCCATGGGTATATTGATAAATGAGTTCTAAATTACAAGAAAATGCATTTTCTACGGAAACCTGAAGAGATAGGTAAAAAATGGTATAATACAATTTGATAGACAATTAAATTGTGCATCTGATTCGCAAAATATACAGGGTGTTCCATTTAAATTAAACAAGTTATTGCCGTTTAAAGTTAGTAATTATTTAAAATAAATTTTGACACTCTGTATAAGGTAGTAAAGTTTTTATTATTGCAGTACAATAACTGATCAATAAATAAATTTCAGTAAATATTTAGTATTAAAACTTTGATACCCTCGAAAAATGAAGCCTTAAAATTTATAACTGCAATTTCACAAAATTGAAGATATTTCAAAAAAATGGAATTAAGTGTAATAAACCTTAATCAAATTTACCTTTATTTTAATCGTAGAAACTAAAAATGTAATAATATATAGGGTGTTCCATTTAAAAAAATACAACTTTGATATTTTTTTATTTATTTGGGACACTCTGTATCTTGTAAAAATATTTTTAAATTGTAGCTCTAATAGTCCTTCAACGAACCCAAAACTTACAATTTGTAAAAATCTAGCCGTTTAGCTACAATACTCCGTGTCGTATGTGGTGAACAACCCTGTATACTTAGGATCTTCTTTCAAGGCGCAGGAGTCTATCGGGAGCCAAGCGACTAGCACGCTGTTCCAGAGAGCATAACAAAATATATATTAATGAGCCAGCTTTCTTAAAATACTTTCTCGAAAACGTTGCTAGCTCTTCCACTATATGTTTTGATAATATAATTTAAATGAACACCGGATATAATAAACAAGTCAAAAATGACCCCCTTTAGAACTTTTACACTGGATAGCTCTGGTATCTTAGACCGTTTAACAAATCTAGTTCCAGATAGGGGGAATAAAAAATAAATTGTGCGAATAATCACCAGAGAAACTGAAAAATTATAAATGTTTAACTTTGACACATAAGTTCGCGCTGAGCATTTTTGAATTTTGGTTAACAAATATTTTTTCGAGTATTTTTTATTGTTTTCTAATTAGAAATATTATTAGACTACTTTGTATTTCTGAATGAACAAAAGTATCTCTAGTATAAAATTACATTATATTAATTTAAATTTTATCAAAAGAGTGCATATGTTTAAATTCAAAATATTATATATTGACAAATACGTTTCAAAAATTCATGTGGTGTTCAAATCTTAAAATATTTAAGTTATAATTAGTAATTGTACTTTTAAATTCATTATATTGTTTCAACAACAATAAATACTTCTTAATATAATAATAATTAATTTATATTTTTTATCTTTGAATACAGAAAGTGCTGCTGCATTTTTCACTTTTCGTTTCCAAGTTTCAATATTTTTTGTGATCAATGAATGTAATTGACGACAGGATTACCCCTAATAAAATAATAATAATTTGATAATTTTAAAACCAACCTGTATGTATCCTCTGATGCGCTTTCAGATGTGAGCTTTTTGTATATACTTTCGTACAGCCTGAAAAAGAAAAACTAATTTAATTATATGTATGAGTAAAATACAAAAAAAAATAAGATAGTTAACTAGATAATAAAATCATTTTTATGTAAAGTGTTAGGTAAATTCCTAAATTCTTCAACTTTTTTGACAAAATTATGATTATTTTTGAAAAATTTAATCTATTACTGTAAAAATATTAATTCTGATGGTGTTAAGGTCGGGAATTAAGAAATCTTCAAGTCTAATGAAGCTTAAACCATTTAGGCTGATTTAAGTATAGCTGATTTATTTTAATAAACATTGTTTATTAAAATAAATCAGCTATACTTAAATTCAAAAAACTTTTGAAAGAGTAGGTTGTAACGTTTTTAATTCGTTACATGTCTTTTTTATATATGATATATGATGTCTGGCGTATCGTCACCCGTATCGTTCAGGCCGGATAATTTGTTTGAGGCGCTTGGCGTAGTTCTAACGTTCTCAAGTCGACAATCCTGTGCTGCTCTATGGGCATTTATTTTCAAGGTTTCCCTCTCCGCGCTTAACTTCACTTTTTGTCTGGCCTCTGGCTAGACGGTCACCTTCAAAGCCCTGTTTAGAGAAATTGCAATTATTTAAATCTTGCTGTATAATTTGAATCAGCTGCTATTTCGAAGCCACAGGTAAAGATGAGATATTATCTTTATTAGATTCGTTATTATTATTGAATATTTTTAGGGTAGAGTTTTGGATTGGCCCACCTCAACTCATATTTGGTGTTTGCTGACACATTGGTTTTCTTTTGTCCTCCAGAATGTTAAATGGAAGAAAGGACAGTTTTTTTGTTTATTGTTGAGCCCTCGGAAGTATTTCGAGGTAGGTTTATTTTGTTTATTAGACCTTGTTTGGTTTTAAACAAGAGTTCCGTATTTTTAGGGTCCAAGGTATGGGCAGGTGTCCCATATATATGTATTGATTCCAAGGTTATGGTCCAAGTTACGGACATTGTCCTATGGTTGGATGCCCTATGTACGGTGTCCTGTGGACGAGTGTCCCATGTAGGGATGGTTTATCATATATATAGAGTGCCCCAGCGTGGATGTAGCTTAAGCTCCATGCTGCATTGCTGCTGTTTTTAAGCCTAGTTGATAGTTACGGTTGTATTGGTTCATGGTGTCCTCATCCTGGCCCCTTTTGTTGCATTGGCCGAGAGACAGTACAGAGATACGAGTCCCACCTCACGCTGTTACTGTTTGAAGCAGGATTGCCTCAAGAACAATCAGCTAAGTTTAGATTTAAGTTCTAGTTTTACGTTTTACATTTACATTTTCAGTCTTAAAACAATAACATACATCTTATCGTACAGACTTTACGTTTAGTGGTTAAATTCCTTATGTCTGTTTAGTATTTAAAATATGATTTAGTTCTTAGGTTTCATTACGAACATATCTTGTTATAGTATTATTTTCTGTATATATCTATTGCGTGATTTTAAAGATGAATAACCGAACAGATTCTAGAATCTACGCTTGAAACATCTCAGATTTAATATCGTACAAAATATAAAAAATTAAATAAAGTAATGCTATCTTTCATATATTTTCTATAAATTTACATGTATTGTATTTTATCATAGTCGTTTTCATAGAACATATTTAGTACTATTTTTAACATAACTTTCTTCGACATATAACCACTATAGTTGCTAGAATTCTACAATGTTATTTACCATCAAAGAACATCATGAATAAATATAGTCTTAGTTTTAAGTAATATACAACTGTGTTTTCTTTCTCTGTTCATGCCTGGCGCCCAATATCTATATTTTTTGTTTATTGTTATTAATTAGTTTTCTTTCCAGTGAAATACCTTATCCACGACTGCTCTCCGATGAAAAGCTGCCGTTCGCAGTGGTAGTGGTTTAAAAAACGCTATAAGGTTAATCGAAAAATTGCAAGAGACTTTTTTTGTAGAGCGTTCAATTCTGTACAAGAATGTGCGATTGTCATGGCTGCAACAACAAGATCGAGAAAAAAAAATATTTGCAAAAAGTGGCAAATTCCCGTGAAATTTAAATGGGAAATGAATCGTCTTTGGGACAAGGTTTATTGTGAATATTAACGGTTTACAATGGTCTGTTATTGTTTTTAAGACAATAAACTAAAAATTTAGAGGGTGTCGTGAGAGAAATGATCAACTTTGTAAATATCGGACACCCTAATGTAAATATCGACCCAAGACTTAGCTTATCGATAAGGTATAAATAAATGCGAATCATGATATATAATATTATGCACCTATAATACAGTATTTTAGACTTCTGTTACTAAAGGTACATAAGAACTAGTGATAGGAAAAAGCGATTAATTTCAATAATCGAGTCCTCGAGTTTCAAGCGATTGCAATAACTGAGTGATCGCTCGAGCGAAATATCACTCGTATTTAAAAATCCGTTTTTTTACCCGTCGCTTGTTGTAGGCACTCGTTAACGCCAAGCGCCAAGCAGTAAGTTGCGTGCGCAGTGATGAATGGCAAGTGGCAAGTGGCGAGCGATTCGCTTGATTTAGTTTATTTCAAAGCATTGTCGATGTAGGTCGTAAAATTTTGTCCCTCAGATATGCAACGGATAAATATAGGTATATACGACGTCGTATAAATTTGCTACCTGCAATGTATGTAGAAAATTCGCTCGGCTTTTTATCGAGTATGTCACATTAAAATCGGATTTCAATTTATTTCATTCTAGGATCGTTTGCGTTCTTCGCTAGGTACTCGTCACTAGCATCGCTCGTTCATAATCGAGCGATGTCGGTTATTTCAATAATCGAGTACTCGAGCGAATATTCGCTCCAGTTATCCCATCACTAATAAGAACAAACTGTACTTACCGATAAAATCACAATGGTGTATCCTCCTCTTCTCCAACTCAGGGTTGTTCCGCCGGTTGTACTTCATCCCCACTAACCGCGGTACCGTCGAAGCTGGTGGTGGTGGGGGTTGCTGGGGTGGACATCCGGGCCCGTGGTAGGGTGGGGGAGGCGTCCTTCTGGGCAACGCACTGCCCGGTGACCCAGGTTCGGAACTGGGCGGCGTGAGCGGGGAGACGTACATTAGCCTCGACATCGGGTAGAGGGTGCTACCTGGAAAATGTGTTTTGGATCAATAAAATTGGTAGTAGTACAGGGTATCTTAAGATTCCGTGGACATAGGACAGTTGATCTTCTAGTTTTTAATAATTTAATAATAATTATACTATATATACCTTTAAATAATTATTATTTTATACACATTTTAATAATTTTGTTTAATAGATTTTATATTTGCCGCAGTTGTCAATTATAATGTCCTCGATTATAATATCCTAATACGATTATAATATCCTAATATATATAATAATCCTGGGGAGATAGCATGGAAGACATTCCTCTTTTTAGAAGTTGGGCGATGTCGTCTACGTTTATATCATTTTCACAAATATCATGTTTTTTCTTAAAGTTTTTATAATTTAATTGTGTTCTTACTTTGGGTAACATATTGTATTTTGTGGTAATTTCTGTTGTTAGTGTTTTTGTGAAAGTTATTTTCGAGTTCTGATGTTTGATTTTCTTCTAGTTTCGTTGTGATTTGTTTAATAGTTTTCAAAGTAATAGTTGTTTTTATTAAATTATTTATGATTTTGTTTAGTAGTAATTTGTTATGATATTTTATTAACCGCTTTATGTTTAGCTCTTTTGCCTTTGTGGTATTCTTCTTTTTCGGTGTTCTATATTAAATCGGATTTTGAGAATTTTATTTTGTTGTTTCTGTAGCTTGTTTAAGTTTTTTTTTCTGTTGTATTGCTATTGCTTCACGTATTAATTATATATTCCTAGATAAAAATAACGCCTGATATATAATTTTCTTCATTTTTGATGGTAAGTATTATATTTTTTAATATTAACTATGGCAAATCTTCTGGCTGTTTTTAGTTAATTGTCATGTTTATATGTGTTTCTGATTTTAAATTATTACGAACTTTAATAACTTCACAGATATTTCTTTTATTTAAAAAAAATAAAAATTAGTAATTTTTTTGACTCGCTAACCTTTAAAATCCAAAAATGGTGCCCAGCGAACACATACAAATTCATAACAACAGAATAGAATTAGTCCACAAATATGTATACTTGGGCCATGAGATCAAAATAAGCAGAGATAACCAAACCTGTGAACTGGCTAGACGAATTACCTTGGGATGGGCGGCTTACGGAAAAATGAGGGACATCTTTAGAGCAAATATCCCAATACACCTGAAAAGAAAGGCATTTAACCAATGTATCCTCCCGGTTTTGACCTATGGCGCAGAGACACTCACTCTAACAAAAGCAACTGCAGAAAAATTGAGAGTGACACAGAGGCGGATGGAGAGATCTATGATTGGCTTGACTTTGAGAGATCGAGTAAGAAATGAAGAGATACGCCGACGTACGGGAGTGGATGACATTATCCAGCGTATCACAAAACAAAAGTGGAGATGGGCTGGACACATTGCTAGAATGGCAGACGGGAGATGGACCAAAAGACTTGTAGAGTGGAGACCAAGAGCCGACAAGCGTAGCCAAGGCAGACCTCCCACCCGATGGACCGACGACCTGAAACGAATAACAACTAACTGGATTGTAACAGCTAAAAACCGCGAGAATTGGAGACGTTTGGAGGAGGCCTATGTTCAACTATGGACGTGAAAGGGGGCTGCGTGATGATGATGATGATGATAACCTTTAAAATCAGTAAAACATTGACCTTCGTCAACACACTTCCGTTCGGTCAGTCGTCGTGGCAACATCGAATACTGTCTGATGGCTGGTTGTTCGGAGGTCTTTGTTTCTTGTTTTCTGTTAATGTTCTTGTAATCGTTTTGTAAAAGCTTAATATTTTTTGGTGCAAAAGTATTAAAGTGGATTCGTGTCCCATTCAGATACATACATTTTTAAAGTTCGCCTACTATAAATGCCATGAAAATTTTTATATAAGTTCGCCTACTTTGAAGGGTCATGAGAAATTTTTTTTAAAGGACAACTCTTTTTTCACGTTGTCACGGGCGTAATCAGGCCCTATGCAGCCGGATGCTGCCAGCGTGGGAGAAGCTTTCGAAATGATCTTATAAGGACCTTTTTTTGTGTTTTAATTATTGTAAAATAATAGATGGCCCCAATATGGTGTACAGCCAGACAACATTGAGGTCATCATGAAATTGAGCTGGCAATTGCCCAGTAGCAGAGACAAAACCGAGACGAGAGAGAGAGAGAGAACCGAATTCGAATTCCTCGTTCAAATTTATGTAAGAAATCTAATTTTTTTCAGACAATGGTGATAAAGAAGACTATATTAATATTAGTACCTCACCAGAACCTAAAGAAGTTACAGGAAGAGAAGAGGCAAGAGAAATGACCGGTCTAGTGAGGGCAATGTGTAAGAGAAATGGAAAGATAGAAATAAATGTAGATAACGGTGATACTTTCAAAATCTTACAGGCAGTAATGTCAATATTACATTTGTTGAGGTAAAAGATCTACATTATCTTTCAAAAATAACCTAAATTGAAGTAGACTATTTACCTGGTGCTGGACCTGGAGGCAGAACATTGTTATTATTGTTATTGTTGTATTTGTACTGGTTGTTGTTGTGGGTGAGGTGGTGCATGGTGGCTTGAGGCTGAGGTTGGTGGTAGTGGGGCTGTTGCCCCTGTTGCGGACTGGTCGGCTGTTGCTGGTAAGGACTAGTTGGTGTGCCCATGAGGTGGAGCGTTGGTCCTGTGGGGGCTTGGAGGACCTAGAAGAGATTAATAATTATATTTATACTTTTGTGACGAGTTTATTTCTGGCAAAAAGTGGATATTCGGTGAAACAGGAATTGACTGAAAATAACTGAATACGTAATCAATAATTCTAATTCATATCATATTCTAACATACCAAATCCCGTTTTTATCTGAAAAATAAAAAAGTTATAGGGGTGAGTCACTTTTGAGATGCACCTGATATAATACTTTAGCGGTATCGATACCATTATATTATTAAAGTGAAGTCTGGACTACCATAAAAGTTAAAGAACAAAGACTCAGGACAACGAAGATGACGTTCTTACGAAAAATAAAAGGAATAAGTATGTAAGATCGAATAAGAAATGACACAATATGAAATGAACCGAAAATACAACCGCTCGAAGAAAAAGTAAAACTATATAAAAACCAATGGAAGGAACACCTAGAAAGAATGACAAATGATAGAATTCCTCAAAAAGTGGTACGATATCAACGTCCAGGAAAGAGAATTATTGAACGACCAACACAGAGATGGTGAAGCGGAACAGCTTTTTAAACCTAAACGGAAAAAGGATACGACGACGACTGTAACACTAGACTATTTTAATTCAAACGTGAATTTTATAATATATTTTAATATATGATTGGTCATAACTGAGTTAAAATGACAGTACATATTTATTTACTTCCCTTAACCATTAATTTTTTATATCATATTTATTTTAATGGTTCAAAAAACCATTTCTAATACTGAAAAATTCATATGTGTGGACAATTTTTTTTTAGTTATCGCTATTTACTTTTTTGGATTATGATCTATAACATATAAACAAAAAAAATGACATATAAAAATAAATTCAAGACTACAAAAACGCAAGAATCTTTCATGCTGGGTCTTTGTCTTGTTTGGTCTTGAGACACAAAAAACAAGACCAAGACCACAAGACTGAGACGGTACGGCAACGGAAATTCGACTTGACTGATCCGGGCGAATAGGTGTTAATTTTGACATAGGATTTCCATAAAGACTTTTGGAAATTCCGGACAAGTGAACTCAGAAATCCGGACAAATGAACTCTGAAATCCGGACGTCGCAAAACAGGCACTATAAATTTATTTATGAACTTTTATAGGACGCAAATAATAGCCCCGAAATCAACAAAATATAAACCAGAAAAACATCCAATTTCCGGCAGTGCACCAAAAGCGAAAAATTTGAGCGCCAAAGTATAGAAATGAGTACTACTTTCGAACATGCGTCGGTTAAATAGAGCTGTAGGAACGTAGAGACTAAAATATTCAACAAAGTAACTGAGACGTTAATTCAACTGTAACTATAAAGTATTTTACTAAGTTAAATTGTTTTTGCGGTCAGGTTTCCCGGACGCTTTTCCAAATCCGGGCCGGACCGCTTCGGACACTTTAAAAATCCGGACATGTCCGGGTAAATCCAGACATATCCATGGAAAGCATACTTTGACATAAAATTTTAATTCTATTGCCGGGTCCAGACCAAGGCGACAAAAAGTAAACATGATTTTGAGGCAAAAACAAGACAAACTTGCGACAAAAAATGGGGAATTTGACCAGACAAACTTAAGACAAATTGTCCACACCGCAAGAACAAAAGTACAAGAAAGTCAAAAGTTTAGTTGTTGTGAATAAGTTTTATTAACCATGTGTGATTTCACTGGTCTCCTAATGTTGGCAGCACACGCCATCCACACTGCGCCGACAACTTGTAAAATATACGAACAAAACATAGACACTCTGATCTTTACCGACTCGAGGCGGGACATTGAAAAGTCTCCGAATTTTTAAACAAAACAAAAATAAGACAAAAATGTCGCAGAAAAGAATTGGATTTATCGCAATTTTGTCGCAAAACATATATGTTTCTGTCTTGTCGTTGTTTTGTCTGCTTGGTTTGGACTCGGCATTAGAATAACATTATGTTTTAATTTCCAGACTTGTATATGAAATATAAATTTTCTCAACATTTAGAACATTCTCATTTAAGAATATAGTTTCCTGAGGACATATCCTTTTTAGGAAAATATTTCTATTTCCTTAACCTACCTTTTCCGTCTTGATCTCCAACGGTGACAACAACGGCGACGGCGCCGTCTGGCAACCCCCCACCACCATCTCCTCCCCTCCCACTCCCACCTCCATTTTGACGACGTGCCCCGCCGGCCCCACCAGCATGTTGGCGTTCTCCGGATCGATGTTCTGAATACTGCTGGCTATGTCCTCCCAGAGCGCGGGCCGCAGGAACACGTCGTCGTCGTTGCCCGGCAACGTCCTCATAGAGACGTAGCTCATGGTGGTGGTGGTGTGGGCGGAACGGTGCGGGGGTGGCGGCGAGGAGGGTAGGGTGGCGGAGGGGGCGTGGCCGCCGCCGCCCCCGCCGGCGTCGAAGAAGTCGTCGATCTGGGAGGCGGAGTCGCGCCGCGGCTTGTCCAGCTCCTCTTCCAGGCGCCGTTCCCATTCCTGTTTGCAGAGGAAGGTGTCCAGGTCGCTGGTCTGTAACAATCGAGAAGGAAGATTGGTTAAAACTAGTTGAAAAATCACATATTATGTTGCAGGCAATGATGATGACTTAAAACAATATCAGTGATTTAAAACAGTGATATGATATCGCTTTTATAAAGTTCCATGGCCTATAGCCAATGCAGAATATATTGACAATTGATACCGTGATTTATAATATCAGCAATATCATCTATTAGCCTATCTTTTCCAACTGTATTCTTTTTTCATTATTAACTTTTACATTCTGACCATAGGAGATAGGTGCATTCTTTCTTCTATTAAAAATCATCCTCACATAATTTAATGGCACATGATTCTTAATTTAATAGTTATTTTTTATACAAGACGGTAAAATGGTATTTTATGCGATAATGCAATTTTATCTTCGCGTATAAAACTTTAATGTATAAAACATTTTTTTCCATAGCGAGTTACGTTTTAAAAAATATTCAGAAATTATTATTTCAAGGAATTTATTACGAGTAGAAAAAATATTGTGCTGGGTTGGCGTTCGTTTCTATGTAATTTGACAAATAAATAAAGCTGTCTCTTTAGTTGTCAGTTTTGAGTAAATATTTTTTAATTCTCTTTCGTGTCGATTGCTGCGTGAATTGGAGCCAGAAAGGGCTCAAAACGAAATCAGTAAATTACCAATAAATATTCAGGCTGAGGCGACAAACGCCATATCCAAACTACTTCCATTTAAATCCCGAATAACTTATGAAAAGGAATACAAAAATTTTCAAAAATAGAAACAATTAAGAAACGTGCGAGAAGAAATAAAGTTTTTAACCTATCCTCGCTGTTAAAGTATCATTTAATCTACCCTTGCGGTTAAAGTACTATTTTATCTACTATTTTTGATAGATATAAGGTAATTTTAACAGTTGCTATGGAAAAATGTCAATAAAACTCTTATTCCCATACGAGCACCCATACATAATTTACTCGTAAATGTAAATTCGGCTTAAAGAAGGAGCATATCAACAAAACTATTGCGACCGCGATGCAGCGTTAATATGGGTGACTTAAATTCCGATTTATCAGTGGCGTTTTAATTTGATTAAAATGTCTTGAAATATAAAATAGGGTAGACTCAATATTTGCTGTTTCTGTTTTTAAGCTTCAATCAGAACTTCACAGTTAGTGGTTTCAATTAGCGTAGAAGTTTGTTCCTTTAATTTCAATGTAGGTATAAATAATAACTCTTTATATATTTATAATTAACTAGCGTGTACCAGAGACTTCGTTCGCGTCAAATTAATAATTTGTAATGGTGATGATAAAGCAAAGCAAGAATTTCCATTAACATAAAAACTGGATAAAATTTTCTCACATTTGTCAGCATGAGAAAAAACAATATGGCGATATTATTATATAACTTGGTAATATTTGAGGGGTAGTTTCATCTCGTCGGAATTTGACTTTCGAAAAATCAGTTTGTCAAAAATAAGCTTTTTACGTCAAGCAGTTTAAGCAGAATCGTGGTTAAGAAATTACCCAACTTTTTGAAACACCCTGTATGATTTTTTAAAAAATTTCAGAATATGTAAAAAAACAAATAAATTATGCTTATTCAAGCGTCTTCCCGAAAGACTAACCGTTTTTTAAATAACAAATATTGTAATATTTGAGGGGCGTTTTTACCCTCTTGGAATTTGAGATTCGAGAAACCCCTCCTTATCGAACCTCTACCCCCCTTAGTCAATCCGTTTGCCAAAAATCAGCTTTAAACGTCAAGCAGTTTAAGCAGAATCGTGATTACTCAATGGTCATATTTTATGAAACACCCTGTTTAAATTTATAAAAAATCTTAAAATATGTTTCACCCCCTTGGAAGTGGAATTTCAAAAAAATCCCTTCTAATCGAACCTTTACACCCTAGAATCAACCTGTATGCAAAAATTGAGCTTCTTACGTTGAGTGGTTTGAGCAGGATCGTGATTAATCAGTATGTCAGTCACTTAAGGATTTTATATATTACTATAGATTCATTTTTTTCCTAAAATATGTAAAAGTCGGTGAAGCTTAATCAGGTGACTAAAAGCAAAATAAAACACCACAATACACCCAAACACTTTTACTTTTACACTGGATCGCGCGTTTCGCTAAAAATGTTAGCATCATCAGCAGATAATTAAAACTCCATCCTTAGTTTTTATTGAAAGTTAAAGATGTATGTCTTCCATCATGAGCGTTATATAGAGTGTCCCAGAAATAAGTGCAAGTATTTTAAGAGGTGGTAGATCTCGATAAAAAAAAAATATATTTTCTCTTTATCGTTTTTCAAATAAGTCCAAAATAACGGAGTTATTTTACTTTGAAAATTTGCAAAAAAAATTTTGCTAAAATTTTGAGAACCACTGGCTCTTTTCTGGACTTTCTTTCTTGTAGATTTAATTTATTACTTATGTTGCCATATTATCAAGAAATTATTTTTTTTTAAATAAAAACTAAAAAAATTTCAAAAAATCCCGAATTTTCAAAATATTTTTTCCGCGAAAAAAATCTCATAGGCGTGTTTCTGGAGTTGAACTATACTACCAGGTAAAATACTTGCACTTATTTCTGGGACACCCTGTATTATAATCTCATCGAAATTCGAAATAAATTGCCTCCATTCATCTTAGATACCTACGTTGCATAGCTTATACGACTACTTAATCTCTTTAGTAAAAATGTCAAATGTTATTAATATTAGTGACAGTTGAAGTGAAAGCAAAAAATGGCGAAAAAGTCACACACATGCCTACACAATCTACCAGAGAAAAATGTTTCCTTGAAAACTGTTGATCTTTGAATAATAAAAATACAAAGCATTTGTATAAATCAATTTATGGTCGCAGGATGTAAATGTTTTTTAATAATTAAAGGTCAATAAATTGTAATCGGAGTAACAGTACCGGAGAACGATAATATAAATATGCAATTATTATAAAAAAGCACACAATTTAATACTTTTTTCATTTTTATTAGTTTTTAATCTAGGCATAAATTTGAATAATAATGACCGTTTCTTGAGAATTTAGCAGTATAAGAGATGTTTTTTTTTCTCGATACATTATTTCTACAAGTTCTGAAACGAGAAATTCTTTATGCCACCCACAAGTTGTTCAGAGATATAATAAATTTGATTCTAGAAAAGTATTTTATTTTACCTAGACACACGTATTTACCGAGCTTGTTCTTTTTTATAATATAGATGACGTAAAAGAAGAAAAATTTTGATACCAATATACAAAAAGTACTCCATGCTAACTTAATTCGTCGGTTGATTTCTGGCAGTAGAGATCCCGAGCTGTGTATATTAGTTGTCCCAAATATTTGTATTCTTCTACTATTTCCAGTTTTGTGTTATTTATTAGAATGTCTTTTCTGTCACTAGTTCGTTGTACATTATTTTAGTTTTTGTTAAGTTCATTTTGAGACCTACTTTATTGCTGACTGTTCGTTAATTTGTGTTTGTAGTGTAGCGTTTTTTTATAAACATTACCACTGCGAACGGCAGCTTTTCATCGGAGAGCAGTCGTGGATAAGGTATTTCACTAGAGAGAAAACTAATCAATAACAATAAACAAAAAAATACAGATATTGGGCGCCAGGCATGTACAGAGAAAGAAAACACAGTTGTATATTACTTAAAACTAATGACTATATTTATTCATGATGGACTGTGATGATAAATAGCATTGTACAATTTTAATAATTATTATAGTGGTTATATGTCAACGAAAATGGTGTTAAGAATTGTACTAAATATATATGAAAACAACTATGATAAAATACAAGACATGTAAAGTTTAAGAGAATATATGAAATATAGCATTACTTTAATTAATTTGATATATTTTATATGATGTTAGTGCAATAATAATATCTATAAAAAAGTAATACTATTACAAGGCGTAATATAGTGAAACCTAAAATCTAAATCACATTGTAACTATTAAATCGACATAAATGTTCTTAATAATCTAACCACTAAATATAGTCTGTACGATATTATTTAAAATGTACGTTACTGTTGAAGACTGAAAATATAGAAAATCTAAAACATAAAAACTAGAACGTAAATCTACACTTAGCTGTTCTTTATGTAATCTTGCTTCAAACAGAAGCAGCGTGAGGTGGTCTCGCATCTCTGTACTCGGCCATCTAATACAACAAAAGGGGGCCAGAGTGAGGACACCATGAATTGATACAGCCGTAACTACTGACTAGTCTGAGAAATGGGAACGAAGCAGCATGGGGCTTACGCTGTATCCATACTGTAGCAATATGGGGACACTACCCGTACCTTGGAACACTACTAGGACCTTGGATATTGTCCGTAACTTGAACCATAACCTTGGACACAGCCCGCCCATAAGACAACGGTACAGGGGAACACTACCCGTACCTTGGATACTACTAGGACCTTGGATAATACCCGTACCTTGTAAATAGTCCGTACCTTGGTTTGGTTTGGTTTTCAAACCCTAAAAATATGAAACTCTTGTTTAAAACCAAACAAGGTCTAATAAACAAAATAAACCTACCTCGAATTACTTCCGAGGGCTCAATAATAAACATAGAAACTGTCCTTTCTTCCATGTAACATTCTGGAGGACAAAAGAAAAGGGACGCCAACGTGCCAGCAAAATACAAATACAAGTTAAGTTGGGACATCCAAAACTCTACCCTAAAAATATTCAATAATAATAACGAATCTAATAAAGAAAATATCTCATCTTTACCTGTTGCTTCGAAATGGCAGCTGATTCAGATTATACAGCAAGATTTAAATAATCACCATTTCTAAAAGCCGGGATTTGCAAAAGTGAGGTTAAGCCCACAGAACAGTGAAACGATAGCAGGGTTGGCGACTAGGGAACGTAAAAATCATGCCAAGCGTGCCAAATAAATTATCAGGCCTGAACGATACGGAATCCGATGACGATACGCCAGACATCATATAAATCATATATAGAAAAGACATGTAACGAACTAAA